ACTTGCAAGCCCGACAGGAAATCGCTTGAATACCTGGACGTGTCATCTCACAATACCTTTGGGAGTAATACCTTTAGCCATGCTGGTGATCAGATAAGGGAAGGTCCAAAATTTATTTAAATAAGTTTATTACATATAAAAATAAAATGCTCCGCAGGGCGCAGCTTGATACGACCGCAGAGGTCGAACCCTGAACAGTTGGGGGAAGTATGGACACAACATTCAAGCTTGATACAGCTTTGGATTTGGATTGTGATTAAATATTTGACACAGCATAGGTTTCTAACACAGATTGAATGTGGTCTAAGAACTTAAAAATTTTAAATTGGACATTCACCTATTATGGTCCAATATCCAAAATCTAAATACATGGTTAGATTCAGCATATCAAAGAACCCCAAGAATTCAATTTTTGATGAAATCAAACAAAGTTTAATTTTGGACCCTTTTGACCTCAATGTGGACAAAGTTGATAACGGGGCCCAAAAATCAAAAATCTAAATACATGGTTAGATTCAGCATATCAAAGAACCCCATATATTCAATTTTTGTTGAAATCAAACAAAGTTTAATTTTGGACCCCGATTTGGACCAACTTGAAAACTGGGCCCATAATCAAAAATCCAAATACATGTTTAGATTCAGCATATCAAAGAACCCTAAGAATTCAATTTTTGTTAAAATCAAACTAAGTTTAATTTTGGACCCTTTGGACCTTAATGTAGACCAATTTGAAAACGGAACCAAAAATTAAGAATCTTAATACACGGTTAGATTCGGCATATCAAAGAACCCCAATAATTCAATTTTTGATGAAATCAAACAAAGTTTAATTTTGGACCCTTTTGACCTCAATGTGGACAAAGTTGATAACGGGGCCCAAAAATCAAAAATCTAAATACATGGTTAGATTCAGCATATCAAAGAACCCCATATATTCAATTTTTGTTGAAATCAAACAAAGTTTAATTTTGGACCCCGATTTGGACCAACTTGAAAACTGGGCCCATAATCAAAAATCTAAATACATGTTTAGATTCAGCATATCAAAGAACCCTAAGAATTCAATTTTTGTTAAAATCAAACTAAGTTTAATTTTGGACCCTTTGGACCTTAATGTAGACCAATTTGAAAACGGAACCAAAATTTAAGAATCTAAATACACAGTTAGATTCGGCATATCAAAGAACCCCAATAATTCAATTTTTGATGAAATCAAACAAAGTTTAATTTTGGACCCTTTGGACCTCAATGTGGACCAATTTAAAAACGGGGCCCAAAATCCAAAAACTAAATACACGGTTAGATTCAGCATATTAAATAACTCCATGAAATCAAGAATAAAACCCCATTGAAATTGGTCAAGAAATAAGCAATTTATAGGAAGTATCTTCTTTTGCACAATCCTGTGCTATTAAATATTTCTTGCTATTGCGCAATACTGTACAATTGACAATTTCTTGCTATTGCGCAATATTGTGCTATTGGATATTTCTTGCTATTGCGCAATACTGTGCAATTGAAGATTTCTTGCTATTGCGCAATACTGTGCAATTGAAGATTTCTTGCTATTGTGCAATACTGTGCAATTGAAAATTTCTTGCTATTGCACAATACTTATTATATAATAATTTACACATCCTGTTTGGTGTGTATCTCCTACCATATCATTATTATTTGATTTTAAATATAAATCAGAAATAACCAACTTAAAATGGAAAATTTTAAAAGAAACAAAAAAGGAAAAAAAGAAAAAAAAGGAAAAAAAAATAAATCCCCCCCCCCCCCAAATTTTTTGAACCCCCATTATGATTCATCACCCCCAAACTCAATCCCAGCCTTCCCTTTGTGGTATGGTACCTTGCAGTACAATTTCAGAGAGATCCATACACTTGAACACAAGTTATTGTCTGGAAACTAGAAAAAAATGTGTTTTTTGGCCCCTTTTTGGCCCCAAATTCCTAAACGTTTAGGGCAATTACCCCCAAACTCAAACCCAGCTTTCCCTTTGTGATATGGAACCTTGTAGTACAATTTCAGAAAGATCCATACACTTACACACAAGTTATTGTCATGAAACTAGAAAAATGCTTGTTTTTTGCCCCTTTTTTGGCCCCTAATTCCTAAAATTTGGAGGCAATTACCCCCAAAATCAATCCCAGCATTCCTTTAGTGATATGGAACCTTGTGGTACAATATCAGAGAGATCCATACACTAACACACAAGTTATGTCTGGAAGTTACAAAAATGCTTATTTTTGGCCCCTTTTTGGCCCCTAATTCCTTTACTGTTATTACCATAACCCCCAAAATCAATCCCAACCTTCCTTTTGTGGTATTGAACCTTGTGGTAAAATTTCATAAAGATCCATTCACTTAAACTAAAGTTAGAGTGCGAAAACCAATGTGTCTTCGGACGACGCCGGACGACGACGACTACGACGACGACGACGCTGGACGACGACGACGCCAACGTCATACCAATATACGACCACAAAAATTTTTTTGCAGTCGTATAATTATGAACAAATTAGATTTTCGAAAACAATTTTACACGGAACACTTATTTATGACTTTGAACTTTGACTTTTTAACTAATTCCCATATAAACAGTTTAAAAACGACAGACCATGGTTATTTAAAAAATAATTACATTTTCCGTTTTGTTAGTCGGATAAAACAACCGTACGATTGACAAGATATCGACACGCAATTACGACTACAGTAGGTTACTGTTGGTTTTGGTCCTTTGTGGTTTATAGACATATCGTGGTTTCTAAACCGAGAAGATGTCAAAATGGCCGCACGCAGAGAATTGATACTCTAAATTTAAAATCGATGGTGATCTCTTATCTAGCAGAATAAAACTTTAATATTTATGAATTTGAGCTTTTTTATACAGAATGGACATAATATCAATTTTTCATTTTTTTGCGAAGTTTCCCTTTAAACGATAAACGGAACTATAAACAAACAAAATAGTAGCAAAATATTTTTTTGGCACATGCCTGCGGAGGGTATGAATTTTTTGTCAAAAGCGGAATCGTTTCTTCTCGGGAGGCATTGAACACCTGACGTTATACCCCTTTCAGATAACCAGTTTACTCGCAAATACAACTTATAACTTCAATGTGATGCAAATTAATATTATTCATCTCAAAGTGGATTGTTTTTAAACCTTTTTTAGTCTTCTTAGTCTTTTCCATGGTTTATTATTGATATGACTGTGGATCGAATAGAGACACAAACTTGGGGCCAGGGCATGTTGTCAAACGATGACCGATAAAAAATAGAAAGAAAAAAAACAGTAATAAAATTTTTTAAAAATTCGTAAGGGTTCCGCGGAACCCAGTGTCTCGCCTACTTTTGCTGTTAATCGCAGGCTCAACAAAAATGAGGAAAAAAATTAATAAAAATATTCCTCTCTATACTATCTTTTGATTGTAAGTAGCTTCTGTCCAAGTTTGGTAAAAATCCAGGATAGTTTATGAATCTAATAAATGTTTTAAAAACTTAAAGTGCAGACTGTATGTAATGTTAACTGGAAGAAAAACTAAGTCCATTTATAAGTAAAATACGGAAAAAATGATTTTTTTTTTACTTTTTTACAAAATTTACTTCTGGATACTATCTTTTGATCATAAACAAGCTTCTTTCCAAGTTTGGTAGAAATCCAGGATAGTTTAAGAAAGTTATTAAAATTTCAAAAACTTTAACCACAGAGTGAATGTAATGTTTCATGGCAGAAAAACTAAGTCCATTTATAAGTAAAATACGGAAAAAATGGAATTTTTTTTTTACAAAATTTACTTCTGGATACTTTCTTTTGATCATAAACAAGCTTCTTTCCAAGTTTGATAGAAATCCAGGATAGTTTAAGAAAGTTATTAAAATTTCAAAAACTTTAACCACAGAGTGAATGTAATGTTTCTTGGCAGAAAAACTAAGTCCATTTATAAGTAAAATACGGAAAAAATGGAATTTTTTTTTTACAAAATTTACTTTTGAATATTATCTTATGATCATAAACAAGCTTCTGTCCAAGTTTGGTAGAAATCCAGGATAGTTTAAGAAAGTTATTAAAATTTCAAAAACTTTAACCACAGAGTGAATGTAATGTTTCTTTGGCAGAAAAACTAAGTCCATTTATAAGTAAAATACGGAAAAAATGAAATTTTTTTTTTACAAAGTTTACTTTTGAATATTATCTTATGATCATAAACAAGCTTCTGTCCAAGTTTGGTAGAAATCCAGGATAGTGTAAGAAAGTTATTAAAATTTCAAAAACTTTAACCACAGAGTGAATATTTGTGGACGCCGCCGACAACGACGACGCCGACGGAATGTAGGATCGCTATGTCTCGCTTTTTCGACAAAAGTCGAAGGCTCGACAAAAATCAGTATAGAACTTAATTTTACATTAAATTAATTGATTTGCGACATGTAAAATATTTAGTTTGTCTGATCACTTTATATATATATAACAGATATAACATGATCATAAAAAAGTAGTTTCGGAAATTTGAAAAAAACCGGTTCAGATTATTGAAGACATCTTTTAGGACAACCACAAAAGGAAAGCGTCTAGTTACCAGCAGTACTTTAGACCCGATCTACTTAGCTCAACTTTAGAGAATAGCTGTCAAAGGATTATTAATTTCGGTTGTAATTCAAAAGGGTATGTTGATTATTTTACTTATCAATTTATCTCAACAGAAATATGCAGGGTTCCGTACAGTTTATCATATTTAAAATATTAATCTTCTCACGGCAGTATTTGCACGATCATTTCAACTTAAAAAGCTTACATCAATCCGTTTGAAAAGTAAATTATACCAAAAATGAATTGGTATCTTTACCAGAAATGTCCTTATTTTACAGTTGAGTATCAATAATGCAGGGCGATGAAAAAGAAAAGAAATTTACGGGGTATGAAAACTACTTGTACTAGGAAACTTTTGTGTGTTTCTTTTCTATAACTTTATATTATGAATATATACATAAAAATAAAATGCTTCGCTGGGGCGCAGCTTGATACGACCGCAGAGGTCGAACCCTGAACAGTTGGGGCAAGTATGGACACAACATTCAAGCTTGATACAGCTCTGAATTTGGATTGTTATTAAATATTTGACACAGCATAGGTTTCTGACACAGAAAGAATGTGGTCTACGAACTTGAATTTTTTTAATTTACCTATTATGGTCCAATGTCCAAAATCAAAATACATGGTTAGATTCAGCATATCAAAGAACCCCATATATTCAATTTTTGTTAAAATCAAACAAAGTTTAATTTTGGACCCCAACTTGGACAAACTTGAAAACTGGGCCCATAATCAAAAATCTAAACACATGTTTAGATTCAGCATATCAAAGAACCCCAAGAATTCAATTTTTGCTAAAATCTAACTAAGTTTAATTTTGGACCCTTTGGACCTTAATGTAGACCAATTTAAAAAACGGGACTTAAAATTAAAAATCTAAATACAGGGTTAGATTTGGAATATCAAAGAACCCCAATAATTCAATTTTTGATGAAATCAAACAAAGTTAAATTTTGGACCCTTTTGACCTCAATATGAACCAATTTGATAGCGTGGCCCACAAATAAAAAATCTAAATTCATGGTTAGATTCAGCATATCAAAGAACCCCATATATTCAATTTTTGTTGAAATCAAAAAAAGTTTTATTTTGGACCCCAACTTGGACCAACTTGAAAACTGGGCCAATAATCAAAAATCTAAACACATGTTTAGATTCAGCATATCAAAGAACCCCAAGAATTCAATTTTTGTTAAAATCAAACTAAGTTTAATTTTGGACCCTTTGGACCTCAATGAAGACCAATTAAAAAAACGGGACCCAAATTAAAAATCTAAAAACACGGTTAGATTTGGCATATCAAAGAACCCCAATAATTCAATTTTTGATGAAATCAAACAAAGTTTAATTTTGGACCCTTTTGACCTCAATATGAACCAATTTGATAGCTCGGCCCACAAATAAAAAATCTAAATACATGTTTAGATTCAGCATATCAAAGAACCTCATATATTCAATTTTTGTTGAAATCAAACAAAGTTTAATTTTGGACCCCAATTTGGACCAACTTGAAAACTGGGCCCATAATCAAAAATCTAAATACATGTTTAGATTCAGCATATCAAAGAACCCCATATATTCAATTTTTGTTGAAATCAAACAAAGTTTAAATACTGGACCCTATCTTGGACCAACTTGAAAACTGGGTCCATAATCAAAAATCTAAACACATGTTTAGATTCAGCATATCAAAGAACCCCAAGAATTCAATTTTTGTTAAAATCAAACTAAGTTTTATTTTGGACCCTTTGGACCTTAATGTAGACCAATTTGAAAACCGAACCAAAAATTAAGAATCTAAATACACGGTTAGATTCGGCATATCAAAGAACCCCAATAATTCAATTTTTGATGAAATCAAACAAAGTTTAATTTTGGACACTTTGGACCTCAATGTGGACCAATTTAAAAACGGGGCCCAAAATCCAAAAACTAAATACACAGTTAGATTCAGCATATTAAAGAACACCAAGAATTCAAGAATAAAACCCCATTGAAATTGGTCAAGAAATAAGCAATTTATACGAAGTATCTTCTTTTGCACAATACTGTGCAATTAAATATTTCTTGCTATTGCGCAATACTGTACAATTGACAATTTCTTGCTATTGCGCAATATTGTGCTATTGGATATTTCTTGCTATTGCACAATACTGTGCAATTGAAGATTTCTTGCTATTGCGCAATACTGTGCAATTGAAGATTTCTTGCTATTGTGCAATACTGTGCAATTGAAAATTTCTTGCTATTGCACAATACTTATTATATAATAATTTACACATCCTGTTTGGTGTGTATCTCCTACCATATCATTATTATTTGCTTTTAAATATAAATCAGAAATAACCAACTTAAAATGGAAAATTTTAAAAGAAAACAAAAAAGAAAAAAAGAAAAAAAAGGAAAAACACCCAAACTCAATCCCAGCCTTCCCTTTGTGGTATGGTACCTTGCAGTACAATTTCAGAGAGATCCATACACTTGAACACAAGTTATTGTCTGGAAACTAGAAAAATGTGTATTTTGGCCCCATATTCCTAAACGTTTAGGGCAATTACCCCCAAACTCAAACCCAGCTTTCCCTTTGTGATATGGAACCTTGTAGTACAATTTCAGAAAGATCCATACACTTACACACAAGTTATTGTCCTGCAACTAGAAAAATGCTTGTTTTTTGCCCCTTTTTTGCCCCTAATTCCTAAAATATTGAGGCAATTACCCCCATCATCAATCCCAGCCTTCCCTTTGTGGTATGGTACCTTGCAGTACAATTTCAGAGAGATCCATACACTTGAACACAAGTTATTTTCTGGAAACTAGAAAATGCTTATTTTTGGCCCCTTTTTGGCCCCCAATTCCTAAACCTTTCGGCAATTACCCCCAAACTCAATTCCAGCTTTCCCTTTGTGATATGGAACCTTGTAGTACAATTTCAGAAAGATCCATACACTTACACACAAGTTATTGTCATGAAACTAGAAAAATGCTTGTTTTTTGCCCCTTTTTTTGCCCCTAATTCCTAAAATTTTGAGGCAATTACCCCCAAAATCAATCCCAGCATTCCTTTTGTGATATGGAACCTTGTGGTACAATGTCAGACAGATCCATACACTAACACACAAGTTATGTCTGGAAGTTACAAAAATGCTTATTTTTGGCCCCTAATTCCTTTACTGTTGGAACCATAACCCCCAAAATCAATCCCAACCTTCCTTTTGTGGTATTGAACCTTGTGGTAAAATTTCATAGAGATCCATTCACTTAAACTAAAGTTAGAGTGCGAAAACCAATGTGTCTTCGGACGACGCCAGACGACGACGACGACAACGACCATTTGGATTGTGATTAAATATTTGACACAGCATAGGTTTCTGACACAGAATGAATGTGGTCTAAGAACTTAAAAATTTTAAATTGGACATTCACCTATTATGGTCCAATATCCAAAATCTAAATACATGGTTAGATTCATTTTCAAGTTTAATTTTGGACCCTTTTGACCTCAATGTGGACAAAGTTGATAACGAGGCCCAAAAATCAAAAATCTAAATACATGGTTAGATTCAGCATATCAAAGAACCCCATATATTCAATTTTTGTTGAAATCAAACAAAGTTTAATTTTGGACCCCAATTTGGACCAACTTGAAAACTGGGCCCATAATCAATAAAATGCTTCGCTGGGGCGCAGCTTGATACGACCGCAGAGGTCGAACCCTGAACAGTTGGGGCAAGTATGGACACAACATTCAAGCTTGATACAGCTCTGAATTTGGATTGTTATTAAATATTTGACACAGCATAGGTTTCTGACACAGAAAGAATGTGGTCTAAGAACTTGAATTTTTTTAATTTACCTATTATGGTCCAATGTCTAAAATCAAAATACATGGTTAGATTCAGCATATCAAAGAACCCCATATATTCAATTTTTGTTAAAATCAAACAAAGTTTAATTTTGGACCCCAACTTGGACCAACTTGAAAACTGGGCCCATAATTAAAAATCTAAACACATGTTTAGATTCAGCATATCAAAGAACCCCAAGAATTCAATTTTTGCTAAAATCAAACTAAGTTTAATTTTGGACCCTTTGGACCTTAATGTAGACCAATTTAAAAAACGGGACTTAATATTAAAAATCTAAATACACGATTAGATTTGGAATATCAAAGAACCCCAATAATTCAATTTTTGATGAAATCAAACAAAGTTTAATTTTGGACCCTTTTGACCTCAATATGAACCAATTTGATAGCGGGGCCCACAAATAAAAAATCTAAATTCATGGTTAGATTCAGCATATCAAAGAACCCAATATATTCAATTTTTGTTGAAATCAAAAAAAGTTTAATTTTGGACCCCAACTTGGACCAACTTGAAAACTGGGCCCATAATCAAAATTCTAAACACATGTTTAGATTCAGCATATCAAAGAACCCCAAGAATTCAATTTTTGTTAAAATCAAACTAAGTTTAATTTTGGACCCTTTGGACCTCAATGAAGACCAATTTAAAAAACGGGACCCAAATTAAAAATCTAAAAACACGGTTAGATTTGGCATATCAAAGAACCCCAATAATTCAATTTTTGATGAAATCAAACAAAGTTTAATTTTGGACCCTTTTGACCTCAATATGAACCAATTTGATAGCGGGGCCCACAAATAAAAAATCTAAATACATGGTTAGATTCAGCATATCAAAGAACCACATATATTCAATTTTTGTTGAAATCAAACAAAGTTTAATTTTGGACCCCAATTTGGACCAACTTGAAAACTGGGCCCATAATCAAAAATCTAAATACATGTTTAGATTCAGCATATCAAAGAACCCCATATATTCAATTTTTGTTGAAATCAAACAAAGTTTAAATACTGGACCCTATCTTTGACCAACTTGAAAACTGGGTCCATAATCAAAAATCTAAACACATGTTTAGATTCAGCATATCAAAGAACCCCAAGAATTCAATTTTTGTTAAAATCAAACTAAGTTTAATTTTGGACCCTTTGGACCTTAATGTAGACCAATTCAAAAAACAGGACCCAAAATTAAAAATCTAAATACACGGTTAGATTTGGAATATCAAAGAACCCCAATAATTCAATTTTAGATGAAATCAAACAAAGTTTAATTTTGGACCCTTTTGACCTCAATATGAACCAATTTGATAACGGGGTCCACAAATAAAAAATCTAAATACATGGTTAGATTCAGCATATCAAAGAACCCCATATATTCAATTTTTGTTGAAATCAAACAAAGTTTAATTTTGGACCCCAATTTGGACCAACTTGAAAACTGGGCCAAAAATCAAAAATCTAAATACATGTTTAGATTCAGCATATCAAAGAACCTCATATATTCAATTTTTGCTAATATCAAACAAAGTTTAATTTTGGACCCTTTGGACCTTAATGTAGACCAATTTGAAAACTGGACCCAAAATTAAAAATCTAAATACACTGTTAGATTCGGCATAACAAATAAATAAATGTGATCAAAGATTTTACAAATCTAATGTGCCATACTGTGCAATTAAAGATTACTTCTTGAAATTTTTCAATATTTGAAATTTAAAAAAAAATAATATTTGAAGAATAATTCTTTTTAATTTCTGAAATCTGAAATGAGAAAAAATTGACCCCCCACAATTTCTTTTTATCCCCCCCCTTTTTTCCCCCAAAAATTTCTTTCCCTCAATATATGGTCATAACCTCAATTCAAATTTCCAATGGAGTTGGCAACCATAATTACCCATTTAAATTTACCATAGTGCTATCTTAATCTATTTTATAATAGAATAAAAAATATAGTGTCAAATCTTTCATGTGGATTTTTTGAAAAAAAAAATGATGCAACATTTGCAGATATTTTTACTGGTCTTCCTTTATAAATATGCATTTCTTTAAACATAATTTAAAAGCAGTGTAAGGGAAGTAACCAAAACGTTGTATTTGGATTACCTCCCTTACACTGTTTTAAATTATCTTTATTGTTCATTAACCATTACTTTTATACATAATTTAAAAGCAGTGTAAGGGAGATAATTTCAATGATGTATTTGATTTATCTCCCTTACACTGCTTTAAATTATGTTTTGTACTAAAGTATTTGTCCATTAACCAGGACAACCTTGTTTTTCCCCCTTTTTTGCCCCTAATTCCTAAACGGTTTGAGCCGTAACCCCCCAAAGCAAATCCTAACCATCCCTTTGTGGTATGGAAACTTGTAGTATAATTTCAGAGAGATCCATACACAGTTCCACAGTTATTGTCTGGAAACTAGAAAATGCTTATTTTTGGCCCCTTTTTGGCCCCTAATTCCTTAACTGTTGGTACCATAACCCCCAAAATCAATCCCAACCTTCCTTTTGTGGTATTTAATCTTATGGTCAAATTTCAAAAAGATCCATTCACTTAAACTAAAGTTAGAGTGCGAAAACGAATGTGTATTCGGACGACGACGCCGGACGACGACGACGACAACGACGACGACGACGACGCCAACGTCATACCAATATACGACCACAAAATTTTTTTGCGGTTGTATAAAAATCTAAATACATGTTTAGATTCAGCATATCAAAGAACCTCATATATTCAATTTTTGCTAAAATCAAACAAAGTTAAATTTTGGACCCTTTGGACCTCAATGAAGACCAATTTAAAAAACGGGACCCAAATTAAAAATCTAAAAACACGGTTAGATTTGGCATATCAAAGAACCCCAATAATTCAATTTTTGATGAAATCAAACAAAGTTTAATTTTGGACCCTTTTGACCTCAATATGAACCAATTTGATAGCGGGGCCCACAAATAAAAAATCTAAATACATGGTTAGATTCAGCATATCAAAGAACCACATATATTCAATTTTTGTTGAAATCAAACAAAGTTTAATTTTGGACCCCAATTTGGACCAACTTGAAAACTGGGCCCATAATCAAAAATCTAAATACATGTTTAGATTCAGCATATCAAAGAACCCCATATATTCAATTTTTGTTGAAATCAAACAAAGTTTAAATACTGGACCCTATCTTTGACCAACTTGAAAACTGGGCCCATAATCAAAAATCTAAACACATGTTTAGATTCAGCATATCAAAGAACCCCAAGAATTCAATTTTTGTTAAAATCAAACTAAGTTTAATTTTGGACCCTTTGGACCTTAATGTAGACCAATTCAAAAAACAGGACCCAAAATTAAAAATCTAAATACACGGTTAGATTTGGAATATCAAAGAACCCCAATAATTCAATTTTAGATGAAATCAAACAAAGTTTAATTTTGGACCCTTTTGACCTCAATATGAACCAATTTGATAACGGGGTCCACAAATAAAAAATCTAAATACATGGTTAGATTCAGCATATCAAAGAACCCCATATATTCAATTTTTGTTGAAATCAAACAAAGTTTAATTTTGGACCCCAATTTGGACCAACTTGAAAACTGGGCCAAAAATCAAAAATCTAAATACATGTTTAGATTCAGCATATCAAAGAACCTCATATATTCAATTTTTGCTAATATCAAACAAAATTTAATTTTGGACCCTTTGGACCTTAATGTAGACCAATTTGAAAACTGGACCCAAAATTAAAAATCTAAATACACTGTTAGATTCGGCATAACAAATAAATAAATGTGATCAAAGATTTTACAAATCTAATGTGCCATACTGTGCAATTAAAGATTACTTCTTGAAATTTTTCAATATTTGAAATTTAAAAAAAAATAATATTTGAAGAATAATTCTTTTTAATTTCTGAAATTTGAAATGAGAAAAAATTGACCCCCCACAATTTCTTTTTATCCCCCCCCCCCCCTTTTTTCCCCCAAAAATTTCTTTCCCTCAATATATGGTCATAACCTCAATTCAAATTTCCAATGGAGTTGGCAACCATAATTACCCATTTAAATTTACCATAGTGCTATCTTAATCTATTTTATAATAGAATAAAAAATATAGTGTCAAATCTTTCATGTGGATTTTTTGAAAAAAAAAATGATGCAACATTTGCAGATATTTTTACTGGTCTTCCTTTATAAATATGCATTTCTTTAAACATAATTTAAAAGCAGTGTAAGGGAAGTAACCAAAACGTTGTATTTGGATTACCTCCCTTACACTGTTTTAAATTATCTTTATTGTTCATTAACCATTACTTTTATACATAATTTAAAAGCAGTGTAAGGGAGATAATTTCAATGATGTATTTGATTTATCTCCCTTACACTGCTTTAAATTATGTTTTGTACTAAAGTATTTGTCCATTAACCAGGACAACCTTGTTTTTCCCCCTTTTTTGCCCCTAATTCCTAAACGGTTAGAGCCATAACCCCCCAAAGCAAATCCTAACCATCCCTTTGTGGTATGGAAACTTGTAGTATAATTTCAGAGAGATCCATACACCGTTTCACAGTTATTGTCTAGAAACTAGAAAATGCTTATTTTTGGCCCCTTTTTGGCCCCTTATTCCTTAACTGTTGGTACCATAACCCCCAAAATCAATCCCAACCTTCCTTTTGTGGTATTTAACCTTATGGTCAAATTTCTAAAAGATCCATTCACTTAAACTAAAGTTAGAGTGCGAAAACCAATGTGTCTTCGGACGACGACGCCGGAAACGACGACGACGACGCCAACGTCATACCAATATACGACCACAAAATTTTTTTGCGGTCGTATAATAAACAGTGAAAAGATCACAATTTATCCTACAATTTGAAGTTTATGTTAAAACAGTATTATAGTTTCTTAGGTGTCGTATGCTGAAGAAACTTTTCTGACGTACTGTTGAATTTAAGTACCTGTAAATTAACGAATTATAAAAGGTTGACGGGATAGTCGTGAGGATAAGGTAGTCATGCTGGCAATCCGGAGATGCCAGGTTCGAATCTCAAAATTTTTTTGTAATTTTTTTTTGTGCATAAATGCATAAATACTTTTTTAATATTGTCATAACGTGTTAAAGAATGATTTTGAATGATGAAGTTTTTTTATAGATATTTACTGAAGAGCAGTATACATGGTATTTTTAATAGAGACATTGTACTTTACCAGTATGTACTAGCAGTTGTCACTTACATACTTAATGGTCCCTTAATAAGGTATTCCTTATTTTAACTGATTCATGTCTTAAAGCATTTGTGCTCGAATAAACAGTTTAAACCTATGTTTGAATGATGATTAATTGATAACATTGTATTATCAGGCACAGAAACAAAAAGACTACTTTTTGACAATTTATAGTGTGCGGCTATAGAAGTAATAATCCTTTATCTTTAAATTGAGAAATGGTTATTAATATTTTTATTTTAATAAACTTTCTCAACACAAAATGTTTACTTAATACCCTGTCATATTTAGTTCAAAATAAGTATACATTATTTTGATAATCTTCATTTTTTTCAACAGATTTTAAGCTGGCTTAAACAATGCAAGTGTATGCTGGGTGAAAGGAATATGTCGGTTCCTGATAGGAACTCATGACCTAAAGGTGAGTCTAGGGTTAAGATAAATTGACTGCGTGTTTTAACTTCTAATAATTATGATAAACGTATCTTGATGAGAGCATGCATTATCTACATTTCGAGAAGACTTAGAGGTTTACATATTGAGTAGACATTACTTTGTTGAATATTATATGTTTCCCTCTGTTTGTCTTTTGTGTGTGTGTGTTGTTATAGGGGTGGTGGTTTGCTGTCCCATTAATGTTTATCCGTTACATCTTTGTATTCATGTTTTAGGTTGTAATTTTCTAATATATGAAGACTTTAAGATTTATTTATTATTATTAACTATCCGTAATTTTGATACTGACTTAAACACTTTTGTCCGTTTAAACGCTAAACGATAATTAAGTATATAAACAATCAGGGTTGAATATAGCATATTTCAAAACTGATATTTCGTGATGGAATTTGCACGTAAATTAACAAAAACGTAAACACACACACACATACACGTGCGCAGACAAATACACACAACTAAACTAAGAAACATATGCACCATGATATTCTCAGGCTAAAACATTTTACGATATTGTATTTTATAATTTTAAATCACACTTCGGATATTCTGTATGTTATTCTGATTTACCTCATGCTATCTGTTAAAATATTTCCATTTCTAATTTTCAGAGAATGTCAACGCCCAGAAACTATACTTGCATTTTGTGTTCAAAGAGACCAAAAACCAGAGACAGGCGGAAACTCATAGGACCCAACAATAAATCACTGCGTAAATGTTTACAACAGAAGTTTTTCATTGAACAGGACAAAATTAATCACACTAACAGTGTTATATGTAATAAATGCAGAATACGATGCTCTCGAGAAATTGACACAAATGTAAGATGCACCATACAAACTACAATATCTGAATTAAATAATGATGACACGGAGTACGTCCCTCCAACAAAATATGCTAGATGTCATCCATGTAAATCTCCGCCAAGTATCGCACTGCCTATACCATCAGCTGGAGGTGGCCATTCGCAGTGTGTTGTGTGTAAACGCCGAGGCCCAAAGCTAGTAGTCGTCCCAACAAACGCTAGATTTAATTTATTTTTGGATAAACTCATTGTTCTCACTGTTGGTGCCAGATGTTGTCCAGGTCACTTGTGCAATGAAATATTTTTACCTGATGCACTTGACAGAATTTCACATTCGCAGTCTTCGTCCATTTTCAACCGTACTGACTTAATGGACCTTATTACGCAAATCCAAGATATGGCATTGAGAGGAAGCAAGGGGCGAATTGATTTTGATACAGAAAATGCACTTACAAGCTCAGACATTTTAAATCTGACAGGCCTTTCTAAGGAAAACTTTAATGACCTATGTTCAATTGTCCAAAAGGGTAATTTACGGGATTCTCGGACTCGAAGTGTTCGGACATGTATTGGGATATTTCTGACCAAATTGAAGTCTGGTTTATCCAATAAACTTTTATCAACACTTTTTAATCTTGGTAAAGATTCTGTTAGACGTGCTATTGCATCAGCTAGAAAATTCTTGTCTGACAATTTTGTTCCTTCTAATCTAGGATTTAATCATATAAGTAGGGAAGAGGTTATAACATCGCATACTCGACCTCTAGCGCAATCACTGTTTGGAAAAGGAATGTATCCAGCAATTATAGTCGCAGATGGCACTTATATTTATATCCAGAAAAGTTCACAATTCAAGTTCCAACGTAAATGCTATAGTATGCACAATCATCGACCATTGGTTAAACCAATGGTCTTTGTAACAACTTCTGGTTACATTATAAGTGTAATTGGACTGTACTTTAGCGACGGCAAAAACAACGATGCACAAATAATGAAGCACATCATTCAACATGACATTGAGGAATTTAAAGAATGGGTGACTGAGGATGACATTATGATTGTCGACCGGGGTTTCCGAGATGCACTTGACTTACTGCAAGAAATGGGTATCCAAACAAAAATGCCATCTTTTAATAAAAAAGGGGACTCTCAACTTCCAGTTGAAGACAGCAACATAACAAGACTAGTTACAAAAATCTGTTGGGTGGTAGAGTCCGTGAATGGCCGCATTAAGTCATGGAAATATCTAGATAGAGTTCTACCAAATAGCCAGATTCCATTTGTATCTGATTATGTCAATATTGCCTGTGCAATCATGAATAAATATTGGCAAGAACTAAATACAGGGGACTCAGAACAAGATGAACAATTGGCGTCTAAAATGCTTTATCTTTCAAAGCAAAAGAACTTACTCCATGAGAAAATAATAGAGGAAGGCCTTGACAAACGTTCTTGTAAATGGCAAAAGATTGATGCTTCATCCGCCCCTACTTTTCCCCGTTTATCAGAAGAAGATATAAGAAATATTACTGTTGGAGTCTACCAACTAAAACTTGCTCCAAGTTACACAAGAGAACACCTAGATGACGATGGTAATTATGAAGTTTTTACATGTGACCATGAAGAGAATCTTTTGTGTGCTAAAATTCAATCAAGACATATATCATCAAAATGCTATCGTGTATGTGTTAAATATGATGACATTAGTGTCGTGGGTTGGTATTGCCAGTGCAAAGCCGGAAGTCGTGTTGTAGGAACCTGCTCTCATGTTACGGCCTTAATTTGGTATCTTGGTATTGGAAAGTACACGGATATAATTTTTGAAAACTATCGTGATTGGAGCAAATATCTTCTTGATGCTCGTAACCTGCCAGATCCAGTTACTGTTGACGAAAGTGACAACGAGGAAGCAAATGATGAAGAGTGAATGACGTGAAAGTTCATTATTTGTTTTTTAATTTGAAAGAAATGACAAAACGTTTAATTCCTTTTTGAACCATACATTTTAAAGTGTATATCATTTGATATGTCTGGAAATGTTTTTACCAACTGCTTCCTCCGACATTGTACAGAATTGAAAGAATAGTTGTTAATTTGCTTGGTTCTTTTTTATCTAAAATCGTACTTCTACAAAATTATGTCTGTCATCAGGAAATGTGTCTTATGTAAAAGTGTACTCTCCGGTTCTATGTATTATTGTATATGAAAAAAACAATCCGTGTTCTTTAAAACTTACAGAAAGATAGTTCAATGCACGGGTTAAAATAACTGAATCCATTTCTTTTATATTTCAAACCGTAGGAAATCATTAGATAGTCGCTGTACGTAGTAGCTCATTTTTTTTTATGGGTTATTAGATATGTGACCCAATGTGTATTTTATGTATAATACATCACATTTCTACTATTTTAATCACCTTATCCATTCGTATGACCGTGCGTTTGCCAAACAAATATTTTCCAAATATTTCTTTTCTCAAAACTAATATACATGTCAGAATGCCATCATATGTTGTCAGCGACCAACCCTATCAAGTTGTAGTTTGTGTGTTTTTTCTCTCGAATCTCTCAGACAATAACTTCATGTTTTCTTGTATGTTGAGTTACTAGTTCAACATATTTCTTCATATACATGTTTTTCATATGACTATTTTCAAGTAATTGTAAGATTTAACAAATAGGACTGTACATAACTCATCAAAACATATGTTCACGATAAAGCATAATGACAGTTTTTTTTAACTTTATAGCTTGTGACTTGAGTAATCAGAGTATATCCATTCCTTCAGGCTTGCTCACGGAATATTGCGGATTGCAGAAAATTTAGAATAATTTGTCACATAATGCAGAATTAATAAATATTCTTTGATAAAAAATACTGTATGCATATGCCTATTGTTAATTCTTTTTTTTTCCTAAAAAAGGAAAAATGAGATTTCTCCTATTTAACCTTATGAAATAACTGGTGGTTTTGTTAATTTCAACGTTTTCGAGAAAAAAAACAAGGTTATGACACCAAGGTTTACTTATGTTTATATTGAAATTCCAAAATTTATTGATCCAGAGGTCTTTAAAGAAGTTTAAGAAAAATATATCGTCCAACATTTAAACACCCAAGCTATCTGAAAGCGCTTATCTATGATTTGATAATTTTTTTATGTAGGTTTCTGTTGGCATAGCAACAGTAACTGTGTTATTATAAGTAAAATGAATTGTAACCAAATATTATGAAATAGCATTTGTACACTGTATGAGTTGAAAAATAACATTTCCCTAATCAACTGATTGTTAAAACAGTATGTGCTACATTGATATTTCAAAACGGCTACAAATAAAAATATTCCATGAAAAAAGAGGATTTTTTTATTTATCTGTCATTAGATTTGAAAGTTTCTTACGCGAAAACGGCTTGAGATATGAACAAAATCTTTTCTGTTCTATGAAGTGGATAGTTTAGGCATGATTTTCAGAAAAAAATGAATTTGTTCTAAGATGGGGCCGATTTTGGCCCTTATTGCCCCTACTCCTTATATTAGAGCAAGGAAGTCCTAAGAATTCAAGAAAAGAAGATAGGATGACTTTTTCACTTATATAAGTAAAAAAATCTGAATGTCTAAGGGACATAACTAAGCCAATTTTTTTTTACCTATACAAGTAAATAAAATACACTTGTATAAGTATCCTACAAATTTACTTATATAAGTATATTAATATTACTTCTTCAAGTAAATAACAAGAGTGCACACACTGAAATGTCTCGCCTTCTTTACTAATCATTGATATTATGTTGATAGTCCTAAATATAAAGCTTTATTACAACTGCCACATAAACTTAACATTAACCAAGTAAACTAAACATTGACCAATGAACCATGAAAATGAGGTCAAGGTCAGATAAACCATGCAAGGCAGGCATGTACAGCTAACAAATCTTCCATACAACAAATATAGTTGACCTATTGCTTATAGTTTAAGAAAAACAGACCAAAACACAAAAACTTAACACTGAGCAATGAACCTTGAAAATGAGGTCAAGGTCAAATAAAACCTGCGTGACTGACATATAGATCATAAAATATTTCCATACACCAAATATAGTTGAACTATTGCATATATGGTATTAGAAAAAAAGACCAAAACTCAAAAACTTAACTTTGACCACTGAACCATGAAAATGAGGTCAAGGTTAGATGACACCTGCCAGCTAGACATGTACACCTTACAATCATTCCATACACCAAATATAGTAGACCTATTGCATACAGTATAAGAAAAACAGACCAAAACACAAAATCTTAACTATAACCACTGAACCATGAAAATGAGGTCAAGGTTAGATGACACCTGCCAGTTGGACATGTACACCTTACAATCATTCCATACACCAAATATAGTAGACCTATTGCATACAGTATAAGAAAAACATACCAAAACACAAAAACTTAACTATAACCACTGAACCATGAAAATGAGGTCAAGGTCAGATGACACCTGCCAGTTGGACATGTAGACCTTACAGTCCTTCCATACACCGAATATACTAGACCTATTGCTTATAGTATCTGAGATATGGACTTGACCACCTAAACTTAACCTTGTTCACTGATCCATGAAATGAGGTCGAGGTCAAGTGAAAACTGTCTGACGGGCATGAGGACCTTGCAAGGTACGCACATACCAAATATAGTTATCCTATTACTTATAATAAGAGAGAATTTAACATTACAAAAAATCTTAACTTTTTTTCCAAGTAGTCACTGAACCATGAAAATGAGGTCAAGGACATTGGACATGTGACTGACGGAAACTTTGTAACATGAGGCATCCATATACAAAGTATGAAGCATCCAGATCTTCTACCTTCTAAAATATAAAGCTTTTAAGAAGTTAGCTAACGCCGTTGCCCCCGACAAAAGTCGCAGGCTCGACAAAAATTACTTGAACAAGTAGTACCCCTTACTGTCAGAGCTAGATTTATGGTACAGACAATTGCCTATTTTTGAATGTTTATGCAGATCAGTAACTTATCTTTTTCAAGAATAAGCTTTAATGTTTTATTGTGTTGCTGTCTCACTAAAGAATACCTCAAACCTCACGTTATTCAAATTTACAGGTAAAGTCTCATGTAGATGAATTTATGTTAAAAAAACATCAGAGAAAACCGACCAATCAGACTTAATCATTAATCTCACCACCTTTAAGCAAAATTTGTCATATATTGAGTTTTCAGATCATTTTCAAAAAAGCTTGTTAATATGCAAAATCCTCACTTAGTAAAATTTTGCCGTACCTCTCTTGATCTTTCCGTCTTGACATCTCAATTTCTTTGTACTGGCGTTTTTTCTCTTGTTCTTCCTTCCTTTTCTGCTGAAGCTGTATAAGTTTTTCTTTCTTTTTCTGAATCTCTTCTGCTTCATCCTTAATCATAAAAGTTCATGAACATATTTTGACATCTTTTTTTTTAAGAAAAATATATGAGAAACAAATTTGTGATTTCATCCTCACTTTTTCAAATTCTTTGCATTAAATCAGCAAGTATTATAGGAATTAAAGCTGTACATACTAATGCACATTTAACATTTCATATACAGAAATAAGAAGTTAATAAAAAATCTTTTTCTTTACTTACATGTAAGATATAAAAACACATATTTACTTAAATGACTGAATTTTTCATAATTTCTGTTAAAATTTTATTAAATGTTTTACTGAAATTCTCCAATATGTGAACAGAATTTTTTTTTAAAGACCTAGATCCCCTTTACCAATTTAACATTTGTGTTAAAAAAATAGACTGGTTCAGCTTTTAAAATTGGAAAATCTTAACGCATATCTTCACTTGGCAAAAACGATATATACCACATGATCAAGAATAAAATACATCTTTGAAAAGGCACATGATTTTTCTACATGTTCTATGGGTCAAACGGGCACATATATTAACCCAAAAATTCAATTAAAATATAAAAAACAATCAATCATTTGCACACAAAAAAAAATGTATACTACATGAAAAAGAATAAAATGCATACAACATCTTTTAAAGAACACATGATTTTTTATGGGACAAACAGGCACATATATATTTCCCAAAAATTTATTTGATAATGTAGAAACAATCAATTATTTTCAGCAAGGTAACTAGAGACCTCATTCCTTATATGTGTCCAATGAACTGACAATAGTAATGCAACATAGTCTTTAGTCAGTCACACATTGTTGTCAAGTGACAGGTTTAGCTAGCTATAAAACTAGGTTTAATCAAGCATTTTCTACATAAGGAAATGCCTGTACTAAGTCAGGAATATGACAGTTGTTTTCCATTCGTTTAATGTGTTTGAGCTTTTGATTTTGCCACTTGATAAGGGACTTTCTGTTTTGAATTTTCCTTTGAGTTCGGTATTTTTGTTATTTTACTTTTTTCTAACCTCATTGACAATGAAATTAACATGATTAACAAATGTCCTCAACTTACCTGATTAATGGATGTTTCATCTTCTCCAATCACAAAGCCTATTCCGGAAACGTTCTGTCCTGAAGCATTTTGTGATGCATCACTTCCTTGAGAGACGTCCTGTATATGACTAGTACTATCCAGTTCAGACCGGTTTTGGTTGGAATTCACTTGTTCTTGTACTGCAGTAACTGAATCAGCTTTTAGTCTATTTTTACCCAATACTGGTTTAGGTTTTGTTGGAGTACTTTCATTGAATGACACAAAAAATTCATTTTTATTTGTTAAATCATTTTCTCCAGTATGACTTGCTGAGACACCACTTAAGTCATTATTTATCACAGATTCTAAATGACCTTGAGCATTAGTCCGAGACATGTCTGAAAATGAGGACACTTGAGTCAGTGATGTATCAGCCGTTATCTGACTTGGAGTCTGTGATAAATTCTGATACTGTCCAGACACAGGTGTTTGAGAATGGTATGAATTTGGTACTGAATATTCATTGGAATGTATATGTGTTACTGTTGAAGTCACTGGCTGGTAATTTGTTATTGGTTGTGTTGGTGGTGGTTGGTACATCTGTGCACCAACATGACTAGAAGGTACAGCACTGAGCTGAAGTCCAGGAGTAGGAATACCTGGTCCCATTGGACTGAATGCTGGAACCATGCCATGAGTATGAGGGGAAGACATCATAGGCCCAGCCCCATGTTGTGGGGTAACTGGGTATGGTGGTGACTGACCAAACGCCTGTTGCTGAGCTGGAGGGTATGGATAAGAAGGAGAAAATACTTGCTGGTATCCATTATAGGGTGGAACATACTGGCTGTGACCAGTACTTGTAGCTGGATGATACTGGTTTAGACCAGCTCCTGTGGCTGGCATATACTGGTTTTGACTAGGTACAACCGGACCAACTGGGACCTGTTGAGGTTGCATGCTTTGAGGATTGTAGGAAATTTCAGGACCTCTTGTCATGTGATGCTGTGTTGTCATGGCAACAGTAGTATTAGGCAACCTTTGCTGGACATTCCTCTGTGGTTGTGGAGGTAGTCCTCTTGACTGTTTAATTTGTTCCTGTTGCAAAGACAACCGATTTATTTCAATCTGCAGATCTGACAAGTTCCTATTAAATTTATCTAATGAAGTGTTATAATCAGCCGTAGGTTTTGGTAAATGTTTTTCAGCAAGCCCACCATCAAATGGCGGTGGACTGTCAGGTGTCTCTGGTTTCTCAGCGTAAGCCTGAGTCACAACTTCAGCATCATCTTTAAACCACTTCTTGCGTACATTTTCAATTGTTTGCTGTATTCCTTCTCGTGAGAATGGTCGTTGTGACATACCATTTGCACTATCATATTCATCTAGTCCTGGTCTTGCAGGTGATGGGGAATGTTCCTTTTGAGTATGTTGAGGTCTTCGTTCTGTGGACATATCTTGTCTTTGTGCAACTGACAAATCTTCAAATGATCCACTGGAAGAGCTTCTTGCCTCCTCTTCCAGAATACCATTTTCTGTATCACCAGGTTTCTTTAAGACATGAAGGAAAGCAGTTTTTCCTAGCTTTTGTCTAAGTCTCTGTTGCTGAACTTCATTTCTTTGTTTTTTCTTCTCGATTAGTTTCCTCTTTTCTTCCAATTTCATTTTAATTTGCAAGAGTTCTGATGGAACTGGGGGTACTGCCGAACCTTGTGCTTGTTCCCCAGACGAACTGGCATTCTGCAAAGTTTGTTGCCATGTGGTTTGATTACTTGATGGGGCAAATGATGTCTTCTTCTCAGATTTTGCCCCGTTACTGCTATCTTTAAAAGATGACTTTTTATTTTCTCCACTCTTTGGTTCATGTCCATGCTGCATGAAAACAAGTCCAGAGTTATCAACTTTGCCAAGACCTTGCTTAAGCCGACGGATTTCAGCAAAATTTGTTGTCATGGTTTTTTTCTCTGTATTAGGTTTAACATCATCACCAGTCTTAATAATCAACATTTCTGGCTTTTTGACAGAGATATTAGTCGGAGTTTTAACATCCTCAGATTCTTTAATTTTATGATCTTTGTGAATTTTGTGAGATTCATGGTCCGAAAAATCACCTGAGCTTCTACTACAAACACTTCCTTCTCTTGACACTGACGTTTTTCCATCGGAATGAACAAGTGAGGATTTATCAGAACTATCTGTCACAATAGGGATGCCTGCAGCTCGTGCTGTTTCGGGAGTATATACCTGACTCTGAATGGTGTAACTTAATTTAACAGAATCAGAACTTTTATCAACAGCACTTTCGGAAACATCATTCCCAGGAATGCTAAAAGCGGAAAATATTGGCTTATCTAATGTATTCCGCTGTGATGTCTCTGTATCAGATAACATATCATCAGGAAGAGGCGTCACTGAATCAGTAACACTGCTGTCTTCACTCAAACTAAATGAACAAGCGCTATCAGTAGATTTTCCTTTTGACCTTGTAGGTGACCTTAATTCTCTACTGATCAGTTCTGGTTCCTTCCTTGTAGGAGATTTTTTATTGATTATGTGACTACGTTCCTGTTCTTTACTATGATTATTTGTTTTCTCCTTTGCAGGTTTAAGTCGTGCCGTCAAAAGTGGTTCTACCCTCTGAGAACCAGAATTTATATTTGACTTATTCATGTTAGTATCAGAGTATAAACCATTATGTGTGTGAACATCTTCAATTCCACTGCGATCAGTCATGCGAGAAACAGCTGATGTAACACTTTGAACTTCCATGTAATCTGGATGTTCCTGATTATGTAAATTTGAAGCTGTTCTTTGAGTTGTCTCTCTTTGTAGATCAGATGGATGAGTTAATGTGGGAGGTGGCGTTGGGTTACTGTCATCCCCTATGTCAATACTTCCAATAACGTCATCAGAGAAACTGTCCATCATTTCTGTATCGATGCTCACATTGGCTAACAGATTTGAGGAGGTGGAATTCTTTGTTTCTTCATTATCAAAATTACTGGACCTGCAGTATACAGAAAATGCTTAAAAACATTTTAATTACTGTAAATTCAGAAATTATTGCTTGCATTTATTAAAGCGATTTTCGAAGAATGGACAATAATGCGTGATTAATTATTGCAAAATCGGAAAATTATGTGTGCATATATATCTATTTAATATGAGAATGCGAGTTCTTATTATTGCGATACTCACACAGTCGCATTATTCGCATTAATAAAAACCTCGCAATAATTTCTGACTTTACAGTAATCAATTTTGGCTCATATAATTACTGTTCTTTTATTTTGTTTCACAGGATTTTATTGAAGTATTTTGCCTCTGACAAATTTTTTCGAAGTAAGTCGTTAAACTTGCTGTTAGAGATCTTCTAGAAAAACTAAAACTGATCTAAACTATAGAGAATTGTTCTTGATTTTGATCAATTTTAGTTGTAAGATTTTGTGTGAAACAATGTCAGGTTTACTTTAAACACTTCACAATTAGTTTGTAATGATTTGTTTTCCTATATATTGGTTAGCCTATTTGACTAGCTATAAAGGGTATTAAGCAAGGTCCAAAAAGTTAAGACAAAATATTATTTTTTCCCACAGAAAAATTTTGTCCAACATAGTTGTTGCACACAGAAAAAAGTTACAAACTGAAGGATTTTGATGGAAGTGTTATTTTAATTAAAAACTCAATTTGATTTTTAAAGATCTTATGTTGTTTGTTACATTTTTCACATGTCTTCCAAGCCAGAATCAAAGGTGCATACCATTTTTGCAAATTTAAAATTAAGTACCACATATTGAGTTATTTTTTGTGACAGGTTTTGTTCGAGGTTAGGGAGATTGGACAGTAAAATATTTTATGTGTTTTATGGTTTTTTACAATGCATTTAAATAATCCTTAGATGTTCTGGATATTCTGTAGTGTAAATTTTGTTGTACAATATCTACTGCAGAAATAGCATTTAATTTCCTGATATACTATCATAGTAACAATTGCCTTTGCAGCTACTATTGGTATAATTATTTTGGTTTTGTATTTCTTGTAAGCAGATGGAGCTAGAAAACTGACATGTCCAAAAGGTCCTGGACTGAACACTTTTGAGCGAGGCACAGAAATAAAAAAAAGTAGTACCGTTGCAAACAATGCAATACATGTTCATGAGTTGTCAATTTCCCCAAAATTAATTTTCCAATTTTCCAAAAATTAATATAAATATGCATATCTTCTATTTTGCACTATTTCTGAACAAAATTTTATCCACATCATTCCTACCAGTAGTTTTAGAGATTTTGCCGTCACAAAAAAATCTCAACAGACAATGCGAGTATTATTACTTCATTTGAACTCTGGTGGCTAGATGTCTCATTGACAATCATGCCACGTTCTCCTTATTTTAATATTATAAATGTACACTCTCCAATATCTTTGATTTGGGGTTCCTAAAAATTTCAAAGTCCACTGGACAATAAAGGTGTTTGTCAAAAAGATCTGTCTGAGACCTCAGGCCTTTTACCCTAATCCAAGCTTCATCCCTGCCTTTATTGGTAGTTATATTACCTATCTTTATTGTCTTGCCAGGCTAGCATGGTTTCTTGTATAACATCTCTCTCTTTAGCTGAACTTAATGATAAAGATCTCCTTCCACCTCTAATTGACTGTGTCACTGAAAAAATATCATATAAAATTTAAACGATAGCAATGGCTGATGAATGCTTTTTTCTGTCATAAAAAAAATAAAGGGTAAAGATTTTTTGGCAAATTAGGATTAGGCCTGTCAAAATTGATACATAGTTCTTCTGTTTGCTCGCTCTAAATTTTTGAAAAACCTTAAAAAAAAACCTTACCACCATTCCCTGAACACTGTCTGAGTCATTTTTTTATGTTGAAAATTATTTCTCACCACTGAGAACCAAAGTTTTGAAAAATCAAATTAAAAAATACCTTCAAATCACCAAATTTAAGGTATCTGTTGCTAGAATATTCATTCTCAAAATTTCAAAGAAATATATAAATGACACTGGCTCGCTCCAATTTTTGTTCTTAAAAATCAAAAGAACAAATATTCAATTTGGGGTTCCCTGAAAGTGTGATAAAGTTATTGGTGTGTAAATTTTTTTGAACTTTAGACTGTATTTCAATGTTAACAGAAACAAAAACAAAAATAAGTCCATTTATCAGTAAAATATGGAAAATAAAAAAAAATTTGCAAAATTTTACTCTGGATAATTTTTTTGGACCATGATTTGTAAAATTCCATGAAGGTTGGATCAAGTTATTTATGAGTAAAACTTAAACATTAGACTGTTTTTAAATATTAACACCAAAAACTAGTAAACTATCTGGGGGCCTTGGTGGCCCAGTGGTCCAAGTAGTTCATCTATTGTACTACTAGCCCTGTCAACACTGAGGTTATGAGTTCAAACCCTGAACGTGGCAGGTGAGTTAGACTCCATTCTTAATTGACTAGGATTGCCAGCTTTCCTGACAAAGGTTGGTGGTTCTCTACAGGCACTCCAGCGTCCTCTACCAATAAAAACTGGCCTCCAGGAAATAGCCAATAACGCTGATTGGGACTTTAATCACCAATAATCAATCAATATAGAATTTTAAGAAGATAAATGCAAAATCAAAGCCTGCAATGTTTTACCTGGAGGATGTTCTCTTTCTTCTGATCGCATCTGACGCTTAGGTAGAAGGGGTTTATGTGGGTGTACAAGAACAGCTCCTCCTTGTGGTGAATGTAGACCGGAGTCGTCCATAGAACACTTTTTGAAGCTCTGTTTGGTTACATTACTTATTGGTACGTTAGGTACCCTGTTGCTTGTTATATGTTTTGCTGTTGATGGTCTTGATGCTAAAATAATAATAGTAAAAGAATACATTCCTCAAAGTCCATGTGTAATGATTTAAGACCATAAATTAAAAAACATGCAACCTTTAATCAATGATTTTTTAATGATATTTAATAATGATATATTCCCTCTCTTCTTAATTCAATGCAAAACATTCTTTTTTCTCATCCCTTCCAAAGTAAAATACTGTATGCAGATTGTTTGTTTGGGTGGATTCAATACAATTTCTATTTATTTGCCATTGTCTGCCCAAGTATTTAACATGTTTGAACCACTCAGGCCGTTGGTTTTTTTTCACATTTTGTCATGTCAGGGAATTTATACCGACTATACGTTCTAAGTTTTTCTCATTGTTGAAGGCAGCATGGTGACCTATAGCTGCTTAAATCCATGTCCTTTATTTAATATAACTTTGGATTATAATTATTAATTAATGTGTGCAAGAAATATCATTATTAACAGCAGCAAAAACAGCTCACAATGATAATAGCTTATGGTTATGGAGACTTGCATCTCATACCCTCCTATTTCCTCAAGCTCTTAGACATGGTTTGATAGATGGATGTTCTTGATCCAGAGAGCAGAAGAACCCTTCCTCTGTTACAGACCTACTTTTGGGTCATTAAATTTTCAATTATTCATTTCTTTTATCAATACAAGAAACTGACCTGAATCCTCTCTTGATGGGGACCTCACACAGGGAGCTGGATTAGTCTCAAACCAGTTAAAGAGATCAGCTACCAATGCATACAGATTCTGCTTCAAGTTATTGTGTGTATACAGAAAATCTTCATAAGACAGATGAAAACAATTGCTGGGTAAATGTTCACCACAGAACTTCTTCACTAGGCTGAGGTTATAAAGTGAGTCTGCTATACCAAGATTGGACTTCAAACAAATATCTGTCAATAAATTAACTCAGCCATTAAAATCTTAATATATTCAGTCTGTAATTTATTCAGTCTGTCTTTTATTCAATCTGGTTAGCAGTTGACTGCTTGGAACTAGTTTAACACGGACATATTTTCATGTACCTTTCCCTATTCAGGAACCTTGTCACTGTTTGTCTTTTGTTACCTGTATATCTTGATGTTTTTTTTGTCATTTGAATTTGGTATGATGGTAGATCTTTGACTTTCTTTGATAAATTTACTTACATCTTTTTTTAGACTAGGTGATCAAGAACTTAACGTATTGTACTGACACTGTAATTGTTGACCTCTATATGTCATTGGTTTGCAGTATACATATCCTTTTTTCATATTGGAAAAGACGAACATGTTTATTAAAAAAAAGTTAATGTTTTACAATGTAAAGGACTGATTTCATATCTAAGGAATGTAACAACAGTCAAATATAGTAAAATATGCATATATTTTTTTCTTAGAAACACTGATGTAATACATTTCAGGTAGTTGGAGGGACTCAACTATGGGGCTGTCTCTTGATCTCACATTGTAAGCGTTAATTCTTGTATCTAAATTAGAAAAAAGGTAATGTTTTTAGTATTTCAATCATTGTCAATGTTTATGTTATATTATTATTCATATTGAATTTTATATTTAATATTTTTTATCAATTTCATATGTTTCAGACTTCATGCCCTTGAACAATTTTGAGCATATGTATTATGGTCAATATTGCTTTCTATTTACGCACATGTATTTGATGGACAAAAATTTAAAGAAGGGTTGGGAGAGAATTTTGCTCTGCAAAAGGTCAATCACTGATACTTAAAGGAGGCATTGGGTTTAACTATCCTATTAATACCAGACACTCTTCATCTTGCAAATGTTAGGCTGGTAGGATGGAATGATTTGTAAGACTACCAAGAATACACTAGCAGGCAATAAATATTAGAAATTCTTGTTTTTCTCACCTGTGAGCTTGAGATGTTCAGGACAATAAAAATGTACTAACACAGCCAGACAACAACCATCACCAATATCCTGTAGAAATTCCTCTATAAATGGCATGTCTAATGAGGAATCACCTGATCTACTCACAATTCTCACCTGAAATACAAATGATTTGTATGAATTTCTCATGAAAAATCTCTCTGGATTCATTATTATGCATTGGATACCAATTTTCTTGGATTTTGTTGGTAGTGAAAAACCACAAATTTTAAATTTTCAACAAAGTATGAATTTCCTATAGCCTTGTAAGGAAACTTTGGCAAATCTGCAAAATCAAGTTTCCACAAAAGTACAATTGTTCTTCAATCCACGAAAATTGGTATTGCTAAACAGTAAATGAATCCACAGTATAAAAATTTAAATTCTACTGCAAAATCTCTTGATCTATCCATAATCAACCTGAAATACAAATACTACTGCAAAATCACTTGATCTATCCATAATCAACCTAAAATACAAATACTACTGCAAAATCTCTTGATCTATCCATAATCAACCTGAAATACAAATACTACTGCAAAATCTCTTGATCTATCCATAATCAACCTAAAATACAAATACTACTGCAAAATCTCTTGATCTATCCATAATCAACCTAAAATACAAATACTACTGCAAAATCTCTTGATCTATCCATAATCAACCTAAAATACAAATACTACTGCAAAATCTCTTGATCTATCCATAATCAACCTGAATTACAAATACTACTGCAAAATCTCTTGATCTATCCATAATCAACCAAAAAATACAAATTTAACCGCAAAATCTCTTGATCTATCTATAATCAACCTGAAATACAAATACTACTGCAAAATCTCTTGATCTATCCATAATCAACCTAAAATACAAATACTACTGCAAAATCTCTTGATCTATCCATAATCAACCTGAATTACAAATACTACTGCAAAATCTCTTGATCTATCCATAATCAACCAAAAAATACAAATTTAACCGCAAAATCTCTTGATCTATCTATAATCAACCTGAAATACAAATACTACTGCAAAATCTCTTGATCTATCCATAATCAACCTAAAATACAAATACTACTGCAAAATCTCTTGATCTATCCATAATCAACCAAAAAATACAAATTTAACCGCAAAATCTCTTGATCTATCTATAATCAACCTGAAATACAAATACTACTGCAAAATCTCTTGATCTATCCATAATCAACCTAAAATACAAATACTACTGCAAAATCTCTTGATCTATCCATAATCAACCTGAAATACAAATACTACTGCAAAATCTCTTGATCTATCCATAATCAACCTAAAATACAAATACTACTGCAAAATCTCGTGATCTATCCATAATCAACCTAAAATACAAATACTACTGCAAAATCTCTTGATCTATCCATAATCAACCTAAAATACAAATACTACTGCAAAATCTCTTGATCTATCCATAATCAACCTGAAATACAAATACTACTGCAAAATCTCTTGATCTATCCACGCCATAATCAACCTAAAATACAAATACTACTGCAAAATCTCTTGATCTATCCATAATCAACCTAAAATACTACTGCAAAATCTCTTGATCTATCCATAATCAACCTAAAATACTACTGCAAAATCTCTTGATCTATCCATAATCAACCTGAAATACAAATACTACTGCAAAATCTCTTGATCTATCCATAATCAACCTAAAATACAAATACTACTGCAAAATCTCTTGATCTATCCATAATCAACCTAAAATACAAATACTACTGCAAAATCTCTTGATCTATCCATAATCAACCTGAAATACAAATAAGCTATATGAATGATGTCTATTATCAGGACTCTTTCGATATATATATCATAGGGACCTTTGTTGTTGAGTGGTACAGGAAGTTCATCTAGTGATCACTTGCCTGTCAACTCTAGAGGTTGTGTGTTGGAACCCAGATAGTACACTCTGGATTCTCCATCATTGAAAAATGGCCCCCATGATATTGCTAAGCTTGCTGAAAGTAATGTTAAACACCAACAAACAAACAAACAAATGGTTACATTGTCCTTAAATTTTCATCACTTTGATACTAACATACCTTCATTTTGGACTGTCCTTCTAAAACCTGTGACCCCTTCTGCTCTTTACTTTGGACTGTACTACACACTTTATTGAACCAGAAATCAACAGCATTTTCTGTGTCTGACGGTAATTCACTCGATGCATTGAAAACAGCAAATCGTCTGTCAATGAAAAGTATTTATTACAATTTCTACTTATTGCTAACTTCACCACAATTTGTTATTTTTTTGTTAACACACTAGTGTAAATGATTTTTTATAAGTTTGTTGTTGTTTTTCATTTAGCTTTTGTTGCAATAATAGATGTACATATAAGACATTGGTTGCTGTTTAATACCTTTTACAAACTTCTACACTCAATTCTAGATACTTTGTGATATATATGTAAATAAACTGACCACCATGGACATAAGATGTGCTACTGCTAATTACAACTGCATACCAAATATCATTGACTTACCGTTAGTGGTTACCTATAAACTGACCTAGTTACAAACTTTAACATATAAATTATGCAAAAGTTTCAGTCAAAAGACAATGATTGAGCAGGTGGGGAAAATCTTCAAGGAAAGGGATGTGCTAATACAACTGCATACCAAATATCATTGACTAACCATTAGTGAGTACCAATAAACTGATGTAATTACAAACTTTAAGGATGTACTCAGGTCAGGTTTAGGAATTTTTGTGAAATGTTCGGACTCCTTGAGTTTTTTCCTACAATACAGGGTAAAACATTTTGACCCATATCACTCACTTTTCTTTTCATAAAAGATTCAATAGGTCATAACCAAAATTTAAGCACATTCTATATTTTTTTCTTACGATTTGAGACCCAAATAATTTTAATGCTAGATATAAGGTAAAAGTCCGAGTCAGTCTTTTCCCGCCATTTTAAAAAAAATCAAATATCTCAAAAAGGAGTTCCATAACCTATCAATATTTTTAGCTTGTTTTGTTCCTTAATTAATGCTCTTCTGACTTATAGTATCAATTTTAAATTCTATATTTTTTAATTTCGCCTAACTACATCCTTAACATATAAACTTTTCAAAAGTTTCAAAGTCAACAGACCATGACTGACCAGGTAGAGCCAAATAATCTCATTGAATGAGATGCGTTGAAGCTTATACTTCTGCATACCAAAAGTCATTGACTTACCATTTGTGGTTCCCCTTAAACTGGCCTCACCACAAACTTTAACAAATGGTTGACACCAACGCCACCCAAAACAGCACATCTGTGTCTCGCCTTTCAATTTACAACTTTGCTCAGACAAGGTAAAAAGAAAATTATTTAAAAAAATTATGCTTGGTGGTGTAAAAATTAGCACCTTCAAACCCTACCTCCCTTGACATTAAAACTATTTCTAAACATGCTAAAGTTTCACTTACCTAACTGCCTGTACAACTCTTTCTACACTAACTGTTTCACTGATGTAAGCCATCATGAGACAATCAATCAGGGCTAGATGAGCATTCTGAAAAAAATCATACATCAAATTTAACATGTACAAAGAAAAATTGAATAGAAATCCCTATTCACATTTTGTCATGTCATGGCCTTTGATAGCTGACTTTACAGTTTGCTCATTGTTGCAGGCCAAATAGAGACCTATTGTTGCTTAAATCCATGTCATTTGGACATCAATGTCCAGATAGTAGTCTCACCGACAATCATACCACATTTCCATATTTTAAATTGACACTATCTTTTATTAAAACATTTTCTAGTTTTTTCCCTTTTTTTAACAAGTTGTTGTTGCAGTGCAAAGAAGGTTCCTAATTTTCCTTCGAGTGTGTACCACTGAAATATACCTTACCATTTGAAGGTCATTTAAAAATATTTCTATGCATGACTTTCATAGAAATTTGTTTGCAGAAGGTTCACATTGAAATTTAGATAATTATTAAAGATATCCAAATCAAACTGCAGCTTATCTTTTTTCTGGTTTCAATACTATCTTTTAATTAGAGTTTATTCTTTCATCTTAAGAACTGTACAAAGAAATCTACTGAGCACAGATGATAAGTAACTGGACAAAAATTGCTCCGTAGAGGCTTGTAAATAGGTAAATTTTTTTAAATAACACACCATCATAATCTTTGATGATAAAAAAACAATCAAACACTCCATTAGAGCAATGTAGTTTAAGAATTTAAGAAGAGAAGGAAATATGACCTTTTTACTTTTATAAGCGAAAGAATCTTGATAAAGGGAGATAACTCTACCTCTAAAAATTAAATAAATATTACTTGTATTAGGGACAACATCAAAAGTTCAATGTAGGATAAAAAACTTAATTCACATAGTTTTTTCACTGACCCAGCCCCCCCCCCCCCCCCCATCTTAACTTAATTTGGAAAAAATTGATTGACCAATATGGGCATATGCTTTCAGAGTATACTTTTTGTACCATGGGTCTTGTTTCTCCTCAACAATGTATGTTTGTTCTGTATATTGACTTGGACATCACTTTTAAAAAATATTGGAAAAAAGTGGTGTATTTTTAGTATGCATCAAAAAAGGCACTGTTTAATTATAATTTTATAAACACTACAGTCAGAATGGATTCTACATTTTTCATCTGCCCACTATTGGCATGTATAAATAGTGGGTTTACAGTTTTGATTGTTTTTGTTTCTTTTCTCAAATGAATATAAAACAGTCCATTGTTTCATATAAAATATAGCTTTAAACTAAATAGTGGTCCATTGAAATGCATGGTGATGACAGGGCAGTGCATTTGTGCCAACTGTGGAGAGAGGGAAAAGCACAATCCCAAATGAATGTAGTGAATGTGATATGATCTATGTAATTTCTATTCAATGTCTGTTGACCACTGTCATATTTTTCTACTATCTCAAAATTGTATTTGAATTTATACTTCAGTTTTCATTTTAATAATTAAATAATTAACACAATTCAAAGAAAATTTTATAGTTTGTTTTTAAAATGCCACCATGCCTGGACCAAAACAATCTGTGTTGATCTGTATATGGTTTCATATCATTCAAAATTCACGTTCAATAAAGCGTTTGAACGACATAGATACTATAATTAATTTCGCCCCAATACTTTCGGCAAAAAAAAACAAAAAAACAATTTGATGGCATTCATTTGGTTTAAAAGTCCAAACATATGTTGGGGCCGAACTTGAATCCGTTTTTTTCAATCCGAAAATCGATGTCGGATAACAAAACTTGCAGCGATTTTTACCTCCCCCCCCCCCCCCTCAACCCCAAAACTATTTGAATTAAGTTTTTTATCTGACATCGATCTTTTGATGTCGTCTCTTAGTATATATTACCTCTGACTGATTGTAGAATGTCATGAATGTAGAAACCGTACGTACATGCATGAGAATTTGCTCATTTGGGAAATCAGCAAAAATTAACCCCTGGGAAGATTTCTATGTTAACCACGTTAACAATAACTTATATAATGGTAGACAGTTAACTTCTACATCATTTAGTCTCTGGTGGAGAGTTGTCTCATTGGCAATCATACCACATCTTCTTATTTTTACAGTGTATACAGTGATGGGATTTGCCTATACAGTGACAATAAAGATGTCAATAACAACCTGGTGAAATGGTGCATTTTTCATCAATATGGTCTCTGTAACTTCTGTTTCATCTGGTTCCACAACATAAATGCCCTTCCTTGACAGCACCTGAATGATACTCCAATGTCCTGTAATGGTAAAACATACATGTATTTACAGACACACATTATTTAAATATGTAGCTATAGTGTAAGGTATATAAGAAAATGAAATAAGTATTTTATATGAAGTGTTCTCCACAGAAATTCTAAATGACATCAGTTATTAAGTAAAATTTTGAAAACATATTGCATCAGTGAAAACCACATCTTTGCAACAGAAACTGTTTTAGAAGAAAGTCCATTTTGACAGGATCAGGGTAAAATATGTAAACAGCATCATGGTGCCATTACATAATTATGATATTACTAAAATCTGATGCTAAAATGCCCATGGGGTACATTTGTAACACTGCACAGAATATAATGCATTCTGGGTAATATTTTCAAAAGCGTACGCCAAAATGCTGTGATTGGCCAAATTCAACCAATGATGTAATGTTGTTTTCATTTTGGTGTACGAACAATGAAATTACCCATGGTCCTTTAGAATTTGAAACGGCTAATTATGATATTACTAAAATCATGTCAATAATGTCTATTACTATACTTTAAAATAACTCAGAGAAGAAGAAGACAACCAAGAACACTGATGATTAAAACATTTCTCAGTGGTGCTAAGATGTATTATTTTTTTTTTTTCGAAAGGTGCGAGTCAAGTTCTATCTCTGTGTGATACGGGTGCTCCAAGAACGGAGGAAATAACTCAGAGAAGAAGAAGACAATCTAGAACTCTCTGATGATTTAAAACATTTCTTCAGTGGTGCCAGTTCTGTCTCTGCGTGACACGGGTGCTCCGAGAAAGGAGGAATTTACTTAGAGAAGAAGAAAACAATCTAATGATTAAACACATTTCTTCAAGTTTGTTATATTTCTTCTTTTTTTTTTTAGTGGTGCGAGTTTGATAAAGTGGTGCAAGTCATAATAATTAGTGAGAGTGTTTGAGTGGTGCAAGTTGGCTGTGGGCCGTGTTGTTGGGCAGTACGTCGACTGAGCATGCGCGACAGTGTGTAAGACACGGATCGATAACGGTCTCCGAATTTGGATATTTTCTCAAAAATTGGCGTTTTCTGTGAAAAAAAGATTGTTTCAAAGGCAAATTTAGGAATTACAAAACACTACATTTATACGTCATATCATGAATATTTCTGACTTTGTATGGTTTCAGAGGAGTTGTGGATTAATGAAATTGGTCTCTTCCTTTAGTAGTATAGATGTTGGCATCATAACAATGATAGACATAATAAAATGCTCCGCAGGGCGCAGCTTGATACGACCGCAGAGGTCGAACCCTGAACAGTTGGGGCAAGTATGGACACAACATCCAAGCTTGATACAGCTTTGCATTTGGATTGTGATTAAATATTTGACACAGCATAGGTTTCTGACACAGAATGAATGTGGTCTAAGAACTTAAAAATTTTAAATTGGACATTCACCTATTATGGTCCAATATCCAAAATCTAAATACATGGTTAGATTCAGCATATCAAAGAACCCCAAGAATTCAATTTTTGATGAAATCAAACAAAGTTTCATTTTGGACCCTTTTGACCTCAATGTGGACAAAGTTGATAACGGGGCCCAAAAATCAAAAATCTAAATACATGGTTAGATTCAGCATATCAAAGAACCCCATATATTCAATTTTTGTTGAAATCAAACAAAGTTTAATTTTGGACCCCGATTTGGACCAACTTGAAAACTGGGCCCATAATCAAAAATCTAAATACATGTTTAGATTCAGCATATCAAAGAACCCTAAGAATTCAATTTTTGTTAAAAACAAACTAAGTTTAATTTTGGACCCTTTGGACCTTAATGTAGACCAATTTGAAAACAGAACCAAAAATTAAGAATCTAAATACACAGTTAGATTAGACATATCAAAGAACCCCAATAATTCAATTTTTGATGAAATCAAACAAAGTATAATTTTGGACCCTTTTGACCTCAATGTGGACAAAGTTGATAACGGGGCCCAAAAATCAAAAATCTAAATACATGGTTAGATTCAGCATATCAAAGAACCCCATATATTCAATTTTTGTTGAAATCAAACAAAGTTTAATTTTGGACCCAGATTTGGACCAACTTGAAAAAATGGGCCCATAATCAAAAATCTAAATACATGTTTAGATTCAGCATATCAAAGAACCCTAAGAATTCAATTTTTGTTAAAATCAAACTAAGTTTAATTTTTGACCCTTTGGACCTTAATGTAGACCAATTTGAAAACGGAACCAAAAATTAAGAATCTAAATACACGGTTAGATTCGGCATATCAAAGAACCCCAATAATTCAATTTTTGATGAAATCAAACAAAGTTTAATTTTGGACCCTTTGGACCTCAATGTGGACCAATTTAAAAACTGGGCCCAAAATCCAAAAACTAAATACAGGGTTAGATTCAGCATATTAAAGAACCCCAAGAATTCAAGAATAAAACCCCATTGAAATTGGTCAAGAAATAAGCAATTTATACGAAGTATCTTCTTTTGCAAAATACTGTGCAATTAAATATTTCTTGCTATTGCGCAATACTGTACAATTGACAATTTCTTGCTATTGCGCAATATTGTGCTATTGGATATTTCTTGCTATTGCGCAATACTGTGCAATTGAAGATTTCTTGCTATTGCGCAATACTGTGCAATTGAAGATTTCTTGCTATTGTGCAATACTGTGCAATTAAAAATTTCTTGCTATTGCACAATACTTATTATATAATAATTTACACATCCTGTTTGGTGTGTATCTCCTACCATATCATTATTATTTGCTTTTAAATATAAATCAGAAATAACCAACTTAAAATGGAAAATTTTAAAAGAAAAAAAAAAGGAAAAAAAGAAAAAAAAAGGAAAAAAAAAAAAATCCCCCCCAAATTTTTGGAACCCCCTTATGATTCATCACCCCCAAACTCAATCCCAACCTTTCCTTTGTGGTATGGTACCTTGCAGTACAATTTCAGAGAGATTCATACACTTGAACACAAGTTATTGTCTGGAAACTAGAAAAATGTGTTTTTTGGCCCCTTTTTGGCCCCAAATTCCTAAAATATTGAGGCAGTTAACCCCATCATCAATCCCAGCCTTCCCTTTGTGGTATGGTACCTTACAGTACAATTTCAGAGAGATCCATACACTTACACACAAGTTATTGTCCTGAAACTAGAAAAATGCTTGTTTTTTGCCCCTTTTTGGCCCCTAATTCCTAAAATATTGAGGCAATTACCCCCATCATCAATCCCAGCCTTCCCTTTGTGGTATGGTACCTTGCAGTACAATTTCAGAGAGATCCATACACTTGAACACAAGTTATTGTCTGGAAACTAGAAAAATGCTTATTTTTGGCCCCTTTTTGGCCCCCAATTCCTAAATGTTTCGGCAATTACCCCCAAACTCAATTCCAGCTTTCCCTTTATGATATGGAACCTTGTAGTACAATTTCAGAAAGATCCATACACTAACACACAAGTTATTGTCATAAAACTAGAAAAATGCTTGTATTTTGCCCCTTTTTTGGCCCCTAATTCCTAAAATTTTGAGGCTATTACCCCCAAAATCAATCCCAGCATTCCTTTTGTGATATGGAACCTTGTGGTACAATGTCAGAGAGATCCATACACTAACACACAAGTTATGTCTGGAAGTTACAAAAATGCTTATTTTTGGCCCCTTTTTGGCCCCTAATTCCTTTACTGTTGGTACCATAACCCCCAAAATCAATCCCAACCTTCCTTTTGTGGTATTGAACCTTGTGGTAAAATTTCATAGAGATCCATTCACTTAAACTAAAGTTAGAGTGCGAAAACCAATGTGTCTTCGGACGACGCAGGACGACGCCGGACGACGACGACGACGACGCCGGACGACGACGACGACGACGACGACGACGACGACGCCAACGTCATACCAATATACGACCACAAAAATTTTTTTGCGGTCGTATAAAAACGATATTAAGCTTCAGACTTTTGATATAAATTTGACTGTTAAATTGACAGTGCATCAAATGAAATGTTCAACATAAGTGTACTAAAATCTGCCTTAGACTCTTTATTAATGCAATATCACGCTGTCAGAACTGTACTTTCTAAAACCACATTTCCTAATACCGGATGTTGACTTGAAAATGATAAAACACGGACCAGAGATGATGTGTTAAATCCGTGTACGCTTTCAAAGCACAAATGAGTTTGTATAGATCTTTCCACGTTATTTTTTCTTGAAAATACTTGAAATGAATGTAAGATAAAGGTATCAATGATATTGTTAGCATTTTTGAAGAATTCAGAAGCAAAATTTAATCTCACACATGTGCACACGTGTACTGGTTTCAACAACATGGTTCTGTCGAATTTTCTCTTAAAACTTATTCTTGATTTTTTAAAAACTTTATCATTAGAATTCTATTTCAAAATGTATTTCTGATAGGCTAAATCATTTTTACTAAGTACATGTAAGAGTTCATATCAATCAATGCATCATACCCCCAGTACCGTAATTGGAAAGTCCTGAGAAATCGATATTGAAAGTACGTGAATTGTGATCAATACATGATACCAGTCTACCCAGGTTATTCGTTCTATTTTTAAAGCATGTAAACATCGGTTCAAATTCCTGGAATCCTTGATGAAGTAACTGAATCTGATTGGCTAAGATAAAATTAGTGAGGAAGGGATTTTCTATTTTGGTAACGCCAAGAACTTTTTTTAACTAGTCTGTCTGGCATATTGATGACAAGATTTGATTGCCCGAGGAGTATATAGTTTAGTCCCGGGCGTCGGGCTAGTGGATTTTTTAACCCCTGCACAGGCAACATGACGAGGCACATTTTTTTTCATATTTTAAACCAGACTTTAACTAGTTGATACCAGTCAGGGGAATTACTTAAATGAGTGATTTCTTTAATCACTATTTCAAGTAACATTTTTCCAGAAATGTTGGAAGTAAGAGTTGTCTTTCTTTAATAATCACCTATTTAAGGCCAATTAAAATTAATTGATAGATTTTCATCCCCGCCCGCCCCTCTGAAATCGTTCCGCCCCAATTTTTTTTATTTTGAAAAATTTACGATTTCCAGATTTTGTTCATTTTCGTTACCGGTAACTGTCGATAATTTCGTTTCATTAATAACATCCTGTTTCAAATTTTGGTTTTTGCATTACTTTGTATGTTTGATTCGTTATACATGTATATACATGATAGAACCTTATTATTACACTTGCATATATGAAGAACACGTCACAAGAGCGTTTCATATCTAATAAAAAATAAAAAATAAAATCCTCCCACCCACCCCATTTTTTTCAAAAATTTGGATGAAAATCTACTAATTAAATTTACTTGGCCTAAGTAGTACAAATAAATCACTAGACTAAGTGATTTAATTTTATTGTAGCTTTAAATATATAATACTAATGATCCAGGGACTAATTTTGTTGCTAAAATTATCAGAACCAACATCTGTGTTTATAGGATGACCGGTCATGTCAGGTGATGACCTTGTACTGAATCTGGGATAATGACATGAAAATCACTTGTTTAAGTATTATACCTCTATTTTCTTCCAAAAAATCACTTCTTTAAGTATTATTATTTTAATTACCCCCACTAATTTCAACACCCCCGAACAGTAAAATTTTGGTCGCGAACAGTAAAATTTTATTACATAATCTGTAAGATGAAACCTTGAATTTTACAGGAAAAATACTCCCACTGCTGGGAAAAATCTGTTCAGAAAATATTAGTTCATTATGTAAAGCCTTCATTATAGCATTTTTTCAACAAATATAGAATTTACAGATGAATGATTGCATCAAAGGCATAAACCTTGCTACTTAAAGAAGCAAAAGGTTCTTTTTTTTCAATTTTACTAATAATTAGATATAATCTAAACCTGTATGTTTAAAATTTTGGTAAAACTAAAAAATCACAGAATTTCTGATTTGCTACTTAAATGAGTGATTTATAAATCACTTATTTCAGTAATTCCCCTGACTGGATACCTTGCCATTGTGAGTGTACATTTCCAAACATGTTCCTACAGGCTTGACAGTACAGTTCACTGGTTACCATCAGATTAGCTAGTCTTGGTTTAACGTGCAAGTATCCCTGAAGAAAAAAAACAACATTTAACACTAATTTTTTTGTGTTTGTAATATAACTTACATGACAAATTTGCTGCTATCATGGGTATAATCTGATTTTAATATGTTCTATGAAGTACTCTGAGTAGAGCTTTTCCTAAACATTTTGTAACAGTCCTGAGTTCCTTTTTGCTGTCCTAAATTCGATTATTCTTCTTTTTTAGATGTTATTTTTAAATGTAGAATACTTAAAACAAAATCATTTTTTTCTTCATTCGAACAATATCATGTATATTAGCAGCCTTAATGAAAAAATTCGTAAGGGTTCCGCGGAACCCAGTGTCTCGCCTACTTTTGCTGTTAATCGCAGGCTCAACAAAATTGAGGAAAAAAATTAATAAAAATATTCCTCTCTATACTATCTTTTGATTGTAAGTAGCTTCTGTCCAAGTTTGGTAAAAATCCAGGATAATTTATGAATCTAATAAATGTTTTAAAAACTTAAACTGCAGAATGTATGTAATGTTGACTGGAAGAAAAACTAAGTCCATTTATAAGTAAAATATGGAAAAGATGGAACAAAATTTTATCAAAATTTCCTTCTAGATACTAGCTTTTGATCATAAACAAGCTTCTGTCCAAGTGTGGTACAAATCCAGGATAGTTTAAGAAAGTTGTTAAAATTTTAAAAACTTTATCCACAGAGTGAATGTAATGTTAACTGGCAGAAAAACTAAGTCCATTTATAAGTAAAATACGGAAAAAAATGGAATTTTTTTTTTACAAAATTTACTTCTGGATACTATCTTATGATCATAAACAACCTTCTTTCCAAGTTTGGTAGAAATCCAGGATAGTTTAAGAAAGTTATTAAAATTTCAAAAACTTTAACCACAGAGTGAATGTAATGTTTCCTGGCAGAAAAACTAAGTCCACTTATAAGTAAAATACGGAAAAAATGGAATTTTTTTTTACAAAATTTACTTTTGAATATAATCTTACGATCATAATCAAGCTTCTGTCCAAGTTTGGTAGAAATCCAGGATAGTTTAAGAAAGTTATTAAAATTTCAAAAACTTTAACCACAGAGTGAATGTAATGTTTCCTGGCAGAAAAACTAAGTCCACTTATAAGTAAAATATGGAAAAAATGGAATTTTTTTTTTACAAAATTTACTTTTGAATATAATCTTATGATCATAAACAAGCTTCTGTCCAAGTTTGGTAGAAATCCAGGATAGTTTAAGAAAGTTATTAAAATTTCAAAAACTTTAACCACAGAGTGAATATTTGTAGACGCCGCCGACGACGACGCCGCCGACGGAATGTAGGATCGCTATGTCTCGCTTTTTCGACAAAAGTCGAAGGCTCGACAAAAATCAAAGAAGTCAATAAATGAATTGTTTGACAACTTTTAATATACAAGTGTTCTTCTTATAGACAGTGTTTATTAGTTTGTAGCTTTATGTAACATATATATGTATATATATATATATTAGATTTTTCCATTATGTTTTGGCATAAATACCCACGATAAATGAAACTAAAATACTTGTTACACAAGCAGGAGTCTTGGCACTGTAAATTTTATTCAATCACTACTTGGAATGTGTTCTTAACAAGTCTGATTACTTTTTTATTATCTTGTTTAGGAACTTCCAATTTTTTTTAGTGATTTTGAACTGTTGCTATACTTGTAGGTTTTTACAGTTTAGTAAATATGTTATTTTATATTCTTGTTTGATGAGACAACCACGACAAACATGCTTTTAGGAAAGTCTATACTACATTATATGCTCCAGAAGCAAACATTTATGGTAGATGGGTCAATTTTTGTGTACATTGGGTACTACTTCCATGTTAAAAAGCTTCAACATGACAGAAAACTTCATACTGGTTTTCCTTTTTTTAGGGTTTTTTTTGTCAAACATTACTAAGAACAATGAAGAATCATACAATTTGCTACAGATCTGTATATTTCATTACTGATCATGCTAATAATATAGGTTCTCACTAAGACAAGTTAGGACTCCTGAAAATTTGTCTGGACTCATCATTTTCAGAACTGGTGAGTCCAAAGATAAATCAAGATTGAAAAATGTTAATTAAGAGAGACGAAAGATACCAAAGGGACATTCAAACTCATACATGCCATAAGCTGAAAATAAACTGACAACGCCATGGCTAAAAAAGAAAAAGACAAACAATAGTACACAAAACACAACATGGAAAACTTAAGACTGAGCAACAAGAATCCCACCAAAAATGTTGTATCAACTAAGCACACATACATGACATATCTGACATCATTTTATAGCAAAAGTTTAAAAGTAATCTAAACTTGGTGTCATTTCCTTGCTCTATTTTGACATATGACTGAATTAATAAATTATACTGCAATCAAATTTATTCTTCTCACTGTTAGACTCAAGGCCAACACTGAATGGTCCCTGATTGATTGATTGTTGGTTGCTTAACGTCCAGTGAAATGGTCCCTGAACTCAACAGCAAAAATCCAGTCCTTAGTGAGATACATTGAACCTGAAGAAGTATTGTAACTTGTTACATAAACATGCACCAATAACCTTTAGGGAGCTCATCAGGTAGCACCTGTCTGATATATGCATGTGACATGTATTAGACATCATAATAACAGTGCTATTTTATTTTCTTTTAAATATAAATAAGAAGATGTGGTATGAGTGCCAACGAGACACATATCCATCCAAGTCACAATGTTTTAAAAGTAAACAATTATAGGTTAAAGTACGGCCTTCAACACTGAGCATTGGCTCACACCGAACAGCAAGATATAAAGGGCCCCAAAAAGACTAGTGTAAAACAATTCAAACAGGAAAACCAAAAGAAACGAGAAACACTTATGAACCACACCAACAAACGACAACCAATGAAAAACAAGCTCCTGACTTAGGACAGGTGCATAAAAATGCAGCGGATTTAAATATTTTAACAGGCGCCAACCTTCACTCTAACATGAAACATTGGTATAATATTACAACATAAAAAGCCATATTTCATAGTAAAATTTGACAAAATGGCATCCATTGTAACTGTTGCATTACCTCTGATGTTTCATAAAATGGAGGCTTGAATTCTGCAGGAACTTCTCCTTTGTATGATTTTTCCAGGATCCAGGCTAGTGATGCTTGTAACTTTGCCTATAAAATTGAAAGTTTAAATTTATGTAAAAGTAAAACTTGTAATAAAATTGTATATTATTTTGCTACAGAGTATTTTTCTTTTAAAATATCACTGGGTGCCATTTTCGTCCAGTATTTTATACTACAAAGTTTATATAATAGACAGAATGTCAATGCGTCATAATCATATATGTAAACTTAATAAAAAGCATTGAAAGTTAGTACTGATGAAACATGCATGTTGGGTTTCTTTTACATTGAAAATGTGAACTAATGGAAATAACAGTTCTTAAATAACCATTATAATAGAAGTAAGAGAGATAGAGTTATCTACCTTTTGCAAAACTAGACTGTTCCACAAGGAACTTGCTTACATGATACATGCACGAAACAAAACTCACTCTTTTGAAGTTGAAATGCTATTGTGGTATTGAATTGAATAATAACCATGTACACAATACTTATCAAATCAATACACACATTTCTATTTTGTATGATTAGGTTACATGTAAATTTATATTAAATGTATACAATTATTATTCTAATATTTTCATAATTAAACACAAAGAAAAGAAATACAACAATCGATTAGATCAAAGACACAATAATTATAATTCCAAAATACGTCACTTCCGGAGAGTATAAAATATCAAAATTGGTAAAATTTGATGGACACGAATTTCTGGATCGTTCAATTTGTATTATCCGGAAATTTGGGTCTGCCAAAATTTACCGAGTTTGACATTTTATACTCTCGGGAAGTGACGTATTTTGGAAATTCTGGGAAATCATTTTGAAATAAAAGTAAATATTTGCTCACCTCAAATGGAATCATATCTTATTTTATCATTTCTTTTGGATATTGCTGGAAATATTTTGCATCAATAAGCACAAAAAAGGTAAGACTTTGTAACTATGCAAAAATTTCTAGCCGGCAATGAAGATTTCATGCCAAAATTGGGTCTCAAAGTTCCCCCAAAAATTCTCTCTCAAAGTCCAGACGTAAAAAAAATGGCTTCAGTGTTATGACGTCGTAGGACATGTAGGAAGGCGTCACAGAAAAAATTAAAATAGCCTTGCAAGACGTCATAATAATTTGGATTAGCAGAGGTTAAGAAATTTTGTTACAGCTCACTAGCCCAGGGCTAATTGGTAGCAGGATTTTACTAGCCCTGTTGGAAGAACTGCTAGCCCATCAAAACTGGCCTGCTAGCCTGAGTATGCCTTAAAAATTTAGAGTTTGACGCATTATAAATATGAATTCTATAAGCTTAACAATTTTTATCCCTTGTACAGTAGATTTTGGCAAATCGGATACCCAAAACTTATGTCAGTAAAAAAATATCCCATTAGCCGATATATTCAATTTATAGTCGATAATATTGTATATTCATCATTTTTTGTTCATTGAACATGTTGAATATTCTGCAATAATGAGTTGACCAAATCTGGAGATGGTGCAAGTCTTGACCACTGCTATACATGTATATATAAAATGATTGGAGTGATTTTTATCAGATACATCATCACGTTTGTGTAAAATAATTATCAGCTGGTTATATGAAATGCTCATATTTGTTTTCAGTTTTTAAACAGTCAGGGGACTTACTTAAATGAGTGATTTTCTAAATCACTGATTCAAGTAACATTATGTACATAAAGGTTGAAAGTAAGAGTTGTCTTTCTTAAATAATCACCTATTTAAGTAGTACAAATTAATCACTAGACTAAGTGATTTAATTTTATTGTAGCTTTAAATATAGAATACTACTGATCCAGGAACTAATTATGTTGCTAAAATTATCAGAACCAACATCTGTGTTGATAGGATGACCAGGTCATGTCAGGTGATGACCTTGTACTAAATCTAGGATAATGACATAAAAATCACTTGTTCAAGTATCATACCTTAATTTCCTTCCAAAAATTCACTTCTTTAAGTATTTTTATTTTAATAACCCCCACTAATTTCAACACCCCCAAACAGTGAAATTTTGATCGGGAACAGTAGAATTTTATTACATAATCTATAAGATGAAACCTTGAATTTTACAGGAAAAATACTCCCACTGCTGGGAAAAATCTGTTGAGAAAGTATCAGTTCATTATGTAAATCCATTTTTATAGCATTTTTTCAAGTAAAATAGAATTTGCAGCTAAATGATTGCATCAAAGGCATAAACCTTGATGCTAAAAAGAGGCAAAAAGTTCATTTTTTTCAATTTTACTAATGAAAAGATATTATCTAAAGCTATGTGTTTAAAATTTTGGTAAAACTACAAAATCACAATTTGTAACAAAACTTCAAATTTGCTACTTAAATAAGTGATTTAAAAATCACTTATTTCAATAAGTCCCCTGACTGTTAAATCCTATATTTATTAAAATAAGTCAAATGACCTCAAATATTTATGTGAATAAATATCAACCATCCACTGTTTGTGTCTTTTATATTTGTTTTATAAACGAGGTAATATCCATATTTACATCATTCACTTGTAAGCCAATTGTGGGCTATAAATAGATTACAAACTGAGTACAGTCTCCAAACTGAAATTATATTTGTGCTATAAATAGATTACAAACTGAGTACAGTCTCCAAACTGAAATTATATTTGTTATATATTTTATTTCTTTAAATTTCAAATTTATTTGAATATCAATGAAGATTATCATGATTGATGAAATATTATTGCATCAAGTTTAAGTTTTCTGAAGACTGTTTATGTTTAGGTCACGGTTCTGGAGGCTTCTTCACAGTATGTTTACAAAACAAAAAGGCGTCCATAACATGTGGTCAAATTTATATCTGACAAAAGTCAGGTTTCTACTGTCAAAAGGGATTCACATTTATATTGCAATAAATTATTCAGAAGGAGGTACAATCAGTTTACGTTATATTTCTCTGGTTGCATGAGCAATGTACATGTACAATACCCCATGTACTGAGAAATCGATATTGAATTCAACAGAAAGTACGGGATCCACCACGAGTTATTTGTTCTATTTTTAAATTAATACATGTACAAAATCAGGTCAAATTCCGGGAATCCCAGATGACATAGTTGAATCTGATTGGCTAAGATAGAAAATCTTTTTTGGAAACACCATGAATGTTTTGTCACTAGTCTGTCGAGCATATTGGGTTACAAGTTATGATTGCCTGAGGCCTAAATGCTGTAGTCCCGGGCGTTGGGCGTGTGGATTTTTTAACCCCTGATTAGGCGAACGGACCATGACTCATTCACAGGTAACACCAGACTCATATCAATAGAAACAAATAGTATTGACGAAAGCCTACATCTTGTTTGGATTTTTCAAAGGTCTCTGCTGACAAGCACTAAAGCAGAAGTAATGCCAGTATTCAAGACAGGGTCTGCTCGGTCTTTAATTTCATGTTATAATTAACCATAAGCTTTAAGTTATGTACCTTCTGAGAATCATACTCGTCCATTGGAACTATCTCTATGACTTCGTCTGAATTGTCCATTGTGTTTTTTTCAGTTAAAGCTGTTTACGATTTCAAAAACATCTTCTTCGCAAACAAATTACGAGGTAGACGAACTGAAGTCCAGTCACCATACTCTGATGAAAAGACCAATTTACAGTGAAAGTATATTTGTCAAAGGGACTAGACTCGTTTGGGGTGTTAATGAGCAGAACAAATTTTCGCTGTTATTGGAGAATTCACATCTTTTTCAGTGTCAAAATATATTTTCTCTGAAAATATTTTCTAAATGTATTTGCATTTATGCGCATGCGTTATTTTATGTTTTCGTTTCCTGTAGAATGGGATTTGTTTAAAATAAAGACTGCACTTCCGGCGTTAGACCCAGCGTCCGGCCTGAAAATACACGAGCGGTTATATTCATTTTCTTTTGTATTCAAATGAATCTTCTTCTGTATAACACATAAATGCATGAACGTCTTTGTGTTCTAACTCTAAACACATCAAGTTCTCAGTCGAGTAAGTTATCACACAAATAGATTAGCGATAAAGTAGATTTATAAAATTTAAAAAAACTTGTTTTTTAATGTTTCAATGGCGATTTTTTTAAATCATTTTGGCTTCTAATAAAGGAAAAGGTTGATATATTATGAAGATCAAGATTTTTAATAAAAAAAACTATTTTTGGTGCCAAAACCTAACAGGCGAAACGAAAAGACAATTGGTGGACCTTAAAACACAATATTCACTTGTAAATGTATCCAAACTAACAAAACTATACTTATTCATTTTTGTATTACCAATCTTGAGCTCAGACAACATATTTTTTTGGTAATAATACCGCTCTCTTCGCCAAGTCGGAGCAGATTATTTCAATATCATTTCTTGAATATTGCTAAGATGTGGTTTATGCTGTACCATTTTTTCTAAAACAATTCTACAAAGTATCATCATTGCACTTATTCATGCTGCGCCAGGTTCAGAAAAATTAAGATACAGAGAGTAAAAGAACCATTGTAGTAAAGTCAAATATGACAACTTTATAGTTTTGAAATGAAATATTAGAAATAAGCTTCAATCAGTTGATAAAATAAATGGCATAAAAATATTCGGTTTTTTCTCTCTCGATACAATGAAGGAGTGACTTTACTGAAGTTTCACCATAAATTTAATAACATGCATTACACCCCTAATAAACCAAATACTTTAATTCTTGAAAAAAAACCAGAGCCGGCCAATATTGTGTTTATAAAAAAGTAAAGATCATGATAATATATAGCAACAGAATAGAAAATAAATGATAATAATTGCATTAAGATAATTATGTTTCAATTCATTAAAAAATTACAAATTGATAATATTAGAAATTCATTATTAAACCACCTAATATACATGTGAAAATCTAGAAATAGCTAGAAATGGGTTACGCATGAACTACATTCTGTAGACCTGTGTGTTCAGCTATTAAAAGGAAAAGAATGTCAACATTGAAAGTGAAACAAGAATAAACCATTTGGTTGACTGAATCGATCCACAAAAACTCATTAACGATGATTAACATATTTTTATAACCTATAATATGAAATCAAACCGTGAGACCTAGAAAAATTCAATTGCACGAGTTCGCTATCTATTCATATCTATATTTATAATAGAAAAACAAAAGAAATGGAGTATCCATCCATGACACAAAATCAGTACATGCACAGCAAAAAAAAAACACATTATGTTTATATTGGGAAACATTGAAACGCTGCCTCCCTGTCACCAGAGATCATAGGGTCACACAGAAAAAGAGAGTTAAAAGGTCTATAAAGTGATAGGTTCGACGTCCAATTTTTACCGTCGGAATAGAACACGTTAAAGAAAGGGAAATCGTAATACTTGTGATTATATATATGATCCGTTCATCCTATTTTGACTCCTCAAAATTCAAGAGTCTATCCCAAATTGAGGTAAATTATGTGGCCTTCCAATAACCGTTTTGATTCCTAACATCACTGAAGAGACATTAATTGCCGAAATCCGGATATGGTGTACAAAAAATATTTGCACCTTTGTTTGCGGTATACCATCTTCGCCGCAAGTTTATTGTTTTCTGTTTGGTATTAAATTTAAAGTTAAGATCCATTTATTACACCTTGTGATCCGTTTATTTGGCAATCGCCAATGGCAGTCAGCAGGATTTAAGAACATTTGTTGTTCGACCTGTTAGTCAAATGCGTTTTGTTAAAATATACTTTTTCACTTTTTTGATCTTTTGGAAAATGTTGTTTGTGCTGTATTTAGACCCCTCTAACAAGAAATTTGTTTTGCATGCACACGTATAAAAATTGCGGTTTTTATCCAACGCAATCATAGGTTTGAACGTTGTTTTCAATTTAGACTTGTTTATATTTTTTCGTTTGGGCTTGTATTATATTTGCCTTCGGGTTTATATGATCCTTTCATCCTATTTTGACTCCTCAAAATTCAAGAGTCTATCCCAAATTGAGGTAAATTATGTGGCCTTCCAATAACCGTTTTGATTCCTAACATCACTGAAGAGACATTAATTGCCGAAATCCGGATATGGTGTACAAAAAATATTTGCACCTTTGTTTGCGGTATACCATCTTCGCCGCAAGTTTATTGTTTTCTGTTTGGTATTAAATTTAAAGTTAAGATCCATTTATTACACCTTGTGATCCGTTTATTTGGCAATCGCCAATGGCAGTCAGCAGGATTTAAGAACATTTGTTGTTCGACCTGTTAGTCAAATGCGTTTTGTTAAAATATACTTTTTCACTTTTTTGATCTTTTGGAAAATGTTGTTTGTGCTGTATTTAGACCCCTCTAACAAGAAATTTGTTTTGCATGCACACGTATAAAAATTGCAGTTTTTATCCAACGCAATCATAGGTTTGAACGTTGTTTTCAATTTAGACTTGTTTATATTTTTTCGTTTGGGCTTGTATTATATTTGCCTTCGGGTTTATATGATCCGTTCATCCTATTTTGACTCCTCAAAATTCAAGAGTCTATCCCAAATTGAGGTAAATTATGTGGCCTTCCAATAACCGTTTTGATTCCTAACATCACTGAAGACACATTAATTGCCGAAATCCGGATATGGTGTACAAAAAATATTTGCACCTTTGTTTGCGGTATACCATCTTCGCCGCAAGTTTATTGTTTTCTGTTTGGTATTAAATTTAAAGTTAAGATCCATTTATTACACCTTGTGATCCGTTTATTTGGCAATCGCCAATGGCAGTCAGCAGGATTTAAGAACATTTGTTGTTCGACCTGTTAGTCAAATGCGTTTTGTTAAAATATACTTTTTCACTTTTTTGATCTTTTGGAAAATGTTGTTTGTGCTGTATTTAGACCCCTCTAACAAGAAATTTGTTTTGCATGCACACGTATAAAAATTGCGGTTTTTATCCAACGCAATCATAGGTTTGAACGTTGTTTTCAATTTAGACTTGTTTATATTTTTTCGTTTGGGCTTGTATTATATTTGCCTTCGGGTTTATATGATCCGTTCATCCTATTTTGACTCCTCAAAATTCAAGAGTCTATCCCAAATTGAGGTAAATTATGTGGCCTTCCAATAACCGTTTTGATTCCTAACATCACTGAAGAGACATTAATTGCCGAAATCCGGATATGGTGTACAAAAACTATTTGCACCTTTGTTTGCGGTATACCATCTTCGCCGCAAGTTTATTGTTTTCTGTTTGGTATTAAATTTAAAGTTAAGATCCATTTATTACACCTTGTGATCCGTTTATTTGGCAATCGCCAATGGCAGTCAGCAGGATTTAAGAACATTTGTTGTTCGACCTGTTAGTCAAATGCGTATTGTTAAAATATACTTTTTCACTTTTTTGATCTTTTGGAAAATGTTGTTTGTGCTGTATTTAGACCCCTCTAACAAGAAATTTGTTTTGCATGCACACGTATAAAAATTGCGGTTTTTATCCAACGCAATCATAGGTTTGAACGTTGTTTTCAATTTAGACTTGTTTATATTTTTTCGTTTGGGCTTGTATTATATTTGCCTTCGGGTTTATATGATCCGTTCATCCTATTTTGACTCCTCAAAATTCAAGAGTCTATCCCAAATTGAGGTAAAATATGTGGCCTTCCAATAACCGTTTTGATTCCTAACATCACTGAAGAGACATTAATTGCCGAAATCCGGATATGGTGTACAAAAACTATTTGCACCTTTGTTTGCGGTATACCATCTTCGCCGCAAGTTTATTGTTTTCTGTTTGATATTAAATTTAAAGTTAAGATCCATTTATTACACCTTGTGATCCGTTTATTTGGCAATCGCCAATGGCAGTCAGCAGGATTTAAGAACATTTGTTGTTCGACCTGTTAGTCAAATGCGTTTTGTTAAAATATACTTTTTCACTTTTTTGATCTTTTGGAAAATGTTGTTTGTGCTGTATTTAGACCCCTCTAACAAGAAATTTGTTTTGCATGCACACGTATAAAAATTGCGGTTTTTATCCAACGCAATCATAGGTTTGAACGTTGTTTTCAATTTAGACTTGTTTATATTTTTTCGTTTGGGCTTGTATTATATTTGCCTTCGGGTTTATATGATCCGTTCATCCTATTTTGACTCCTCAAAATTCAAGAGTCTATCCCAAATTGAGGTAAATTATGTGGCCTTCCAATAACCGTTTTGATTCCTAACATCACTGAAGAGACATTAATTGCCGAAATCCGGATATGGTGTACAAAAAATATTTGCACCTTTGTTTGCGGTATACCATCTTCGCCGCAAGTTTATTGTTTTCTGTTTGGTATTAAATTTAAAGTTAAGATCCATTTATTACACCTTGTGATCCGTTTATTTGGCAATCGCCAATGGCAGTCAGCAGGATTTAAGAACATTTGTTGTTCGACCTGTTAGTCAAATGCGTTTTGTTAAAATATACTTTTTCACTTTTTTGATCTTTTGGAAAATGTTGTTTGTGCTGTATTTAGACCCCTCTAACAAGAAATTTGTTTTGCATGCACACGTATAAAAATTGCAGTTTTTATCCAACGCAATCATAGGTTTGAACGTTGTTTTCAATTTAGACTTGTTTATATTTTTTCGTTTGGGCTTGTATTATATTTGCCTTCGGGTTTATATGATCCGTTCATCCTATTTTGACTCCTCAAAATTCAAGAGTCTATCCCAAATTGAGGTAAATTATGTGGCCTTCCAATAACCGTTTTGATTCCTAACATCACTGAAGAGACATTAATTGCCGAAATCCGGATATGGTGTACAAAAAATATTTGCACCTTTGTT